AAGGTACACAGGGAAATGTATGGCGTTTTGGTAAAGTAAAACTAAATGTTCCTGATATGTATTCGGTATGTATTTAATATATTCATAAATAAAGTCTCTTAAAAGTATTTTTTGTTCTAGATAATTGTCGAAGGAGTAGCTGGTGTCAGTTATCGAGGTAAGACAGATTAACTTCATAAAAATATTTTATATCACTATTTATATCCTTATAGGTGATATATCTTTGGACAATTTTGCCCTTATTGATGATTCATGCCCGTCTGATTATCCATTTGAATGTGATTTTGATGATGAGAGTCTCTGTGGTTTTTATCATGACACTACCGCTGATTACCAGTGGATTAGACACAAAGGTCATACAGCAAGCTTTTCAACGGGTCCCAGTGTTGATCATACGACCGGATCAATAAACGGTGAGAATATCAGAAAAAAAACTTTACTTTATGACTTTTACTGATATTTAATTGTGTAGGATATTACATGTACATTGAAGCATCAAATAGTCAAAAACAAGGTCAAAAAGCTCGTTTGATATCACCGTGGTTTAATTCGACAAACGGTCAGTGTTTATCTTTCTGGTATCACAGTTATGGTGCTGAAATTGGTGCATTGACTGTTTATAAGAAAATGTCATCAACCGATGACATGTATCCAATGTGGCGTATCAACTACAATTTTGGTGATCAATGGAATGCAGCAACGTTGAGTATTTATCAAACAATGCAACCATGGGCAGTTATATTCGAAAGTGAATTTGGCCCTGGATTTGAAGGTGACTTGGCATTGGATGACGTTATCATAAAAAATGGTCTATGTCCACGTTTGGGTGCATGCGATTTCGAACAAAATGATTTTTGTACATGGCATAATGTGAGAAACGCAAAATTAGATGATTTTGACTGGCTGGTGGGGCATGGTCAAACGGATTCAGCGTTCACAGGAGTATGTCGTGTTTCATATAAGTAAACAAGTGATATATAAATGAATTGCTGTTTCTTTTTAGCCAAATGTCGATCATACCAATAATGATCCATTTGGATACTATGCGTTTATAGAAGCATCATCTCCTCAAGAAGGTGATAAAGCATTGCTAGAATCAACCATTTTATTACCAACATCAGCGATTGGCTCCTGCTTCTCATTTTGGTATCATATGTACGGCACAAATATTGGTCTATTAAATATTTACATAAATGGTGCAAAATCTGTAAAGCCTTTATGGATATGGTAAGTACCACATTAAAATTAGATTTGTCTTTCTTTATTGTGATTTTTTGAAATCAGGACTCAGAATGGAGATAAAGGTGATGTATGGAGAAATGGTCAAGTTACAATTAAATCAGCTGCATATTATCGATTATTAATCGAAGCTATCATTAGTAAGTATATGGATACAATTAGCCAATATACACTAAAGAACTAATAATGTTTTATTTTTAAGGTGATTCTTTTGCTGGAGATATTGCCATTGATGATCTGCAAATATTCGATAATCCTTGTGTGTTGACACCGGCCGATTCCAATCCAGCTGATATTCCACCTTCAACAACTTCAACCAAACCTCCAGTCACACAAAAACCATTAGATCAATGGGATTGTACATTTGAAAATGATACATGTTCATGGTCCAACAGGGTAGAAAACGCGTTCAATTGGACACGTGTTCAAGGACCAACCGGTTCACTAATAACGGGACCAAGTAAGTTGAGAAGTTAACGTTATCATCCGTATGGCAATTGAATATTTGTTCTTCTCTGCAGTTGTCGACCATACAACAGGTTCGAAAGACGGCTGGTATATGTCTGTTGATTTGGGAAAAAAACCAGCAAGTAACGTTGCAATGTTAGTTGGTCCTACGTTAGGTGACCTGCAATGCATGACATTCTATTATCATATGTATGGACATTCTGGAACATTGAATATCTACATGTCTATTCAAAATCAATTAGGCGTACCAATATGGACCAGACAGGGTGCACAAGGGGACGTATGGCGATATGGACAAGTAGCAATAACAAAAAAGAATGCCAATGTCGTTTTTGAAGGTAATAATTCGATCTTTATGTCTAAGAGTCCAAAACTATTCTAAACTGTTTTTAGCTGTTACGGGTACAAGTGCAAGTGGAGACGTATCTCTTGATGATATCTATTTTGTCAGCGGCGCATGTAAAGAAAGTGCGGATATTGGTGAATCGTGCACATTTGTTGATCTTGCAGCATGCGGTTTCACGCAAAATGATACATCTGCTTCTCTGTTATGGACAACGTTTACTGGTAATGATACTTCAAAAGCTCCGATTCTTAGTGATCATACAACGGGTACAAATCGTGGCTCGTATATTTACGTTGACTTTGCTAATAAAGTTGAACATTTACATGCACTTCTATTATCACCCAACTACCAACCGTCGACTAATCAATCACGTTGTTTAGAGTTTTATTTCGCTATAACAGACTCCGATTCAAATACGTTAAATGTTTATCAGGAAAGTTCAACCGGTTCAAGACGTGTGTTATTTACACGATCTAACGATCATGGACAAATATGGAATAAAGCAGAAGTAAGAATAGCAGCAGCAAATGAATTTAGAATTACATTTGAAGCTCTTAGTGGAACAACGCGAAAAGGTATGTACCTACAAATGTTATGAACCTGTTTTATATGTGTTTTCAACTTAGTCGTGGATCTCTGAATTCTGATTAGATGGAATTGAAGTTTTTGGGCTGCTAGACATACAAAGAACATACATGTTTCTCTAGAGAAGCCAACTCTTTGAAATTTTTACTTATAATTTTATAATCACTAACAAATTTCTAACTGGATCCGAGCCTTCGCTCGTGGCAAGACATTATTGTAACAAATATAGAATGCGAATGACAGAATGCTCAGAGCTCTGCAACCTATCATTTTCTAGAAAAATATCTGCATTTCGGCATACTCAAGCAATGCTCTCTCTTCTTTCTTTCGAATTGTGCACTTTCTCTCAGAAATTGTAATATCTCTGTATGTAACAATAGTATTATTGAAACATGTCTCGCTTTATTTATTTCTTCTTTTAGGATTAATTTCAATTGATGATTACTTACTAAAAGATGGTAATTGTTCGTTACAAGGCGATATTTGTACATTTGATAGTAATGATTTGTGCGCGTGGCAGAATGCGCTAACAAATAATTTTGATTGGTTACTACACAAAGGACAAACGGACTCGTTGGATACAGGTCCGGATGTAGATCATACGCTCGGTAAGTGCTTTGTTATGTTTCAAAATGAAAAACAAGTCATTTGAATCATCTTTCTTGTAGGAACAAAAGATGGATATTATATCTACATTGAAACCTCATTTCCAGCTCAGTTTGGAGAGAAAGCACGACTTGAATCCGAAATATTATTCGATACAAGATCAAAATGCGTGACGTTCTGGTACAATATGTAAGTATTAATTTAGTGGTATGAATATCGAAACAATATACCTGATTTCTATAAAATAAATATTAGGTATGGCGTTGATGTTGCAACGTTAAACGTTTATTTTCGTAATTTTGGAACACCCAATGGCACTGATTTAGTTATTTGGAGATTAAGAGGACCTCAAGGACGTAGTTGGAAACATGGTCAAGTATCCGTAATACCAACAGGAAAATATCAAATTATATTCGAAGGCATACGAGGAAATGACTATGATGGAGATATTGGTTTAGATGATATCGGAATAATGACAACAGAAACATGTACCTTACAACCGAATGAAGCTGAGTCATTTCAAATATTGCAAGAATTGATTACATGTGGTTTTGAACAAGGTTTTTGTCAATGGCAACTGGATACAACAGGACAGTTTAATTGGACACAGCATACGGGGCAAACAACGACAGCAGGCACGGGACCAAGCACAGGTAATTCTGAGCATAATCAACAACTGATATATAAACTAAATAGTACATGCATACTTGCTCATTCATTCAGGCGCAGATCGTACACCATACTACATTTACATTGAAGCAAGTTATCCTCAGAAATATGGTGATCGTGCGAGTCTAATATCGCCATTATTACCAAAACCTAGAAGTGTTCAATGTTTCTCATTTTATTATCATATGTAAGTAATCATGCTATTTTATGCATATTTTATATTTAATAGCATTTAATTTCGTTTACAAAAAGGTTTGGTGAAGAAGTAGGCTCTTTGCAAATTTCAACTGTTGAACAAATATCTCCATTAAAACAAACGCTTGTCTGGGAACGAAATGGAACACAAGGAAATGAATGGAGAATTGGTCGCATAAATATACGAAATGTTGCAGCTGATTACAAATTCAAAGTGGATGGTTACGTCGGAATTGGATTCGAAGGAGATATAGGCCTAGATGAACTTTCATTACTGCAAGGAGAATGTCCACCATCAACAGAATGTGATTTTGAAACATCATATTGTGGATGGACCAATGACACTACAGCCGACTTTTATTGGATTCGAGCACAGAAAGAGACGCTTTCGTCTAACACAGGACCATCAGCAGGTAAATTACTAATTCCTTTATTACTTCATTGAATTATTAACATCCGAATCGATAATTCACTTTTTATTAGATCATACAACTCAATCACCAAACGGTTATTATTTGTACATCGAAACATCCAGTCCTCAAGCAGAAGGTCAAAAAGCAAGAATTATTAGTCCGAAATATCCGGCATCATCCTCTCTTTGTCTTAAATTTTGGTATCATATGTATGGGTAAGGAAAATTCATAGTCTTGGGAAAATAAGATAATCTAATTATTTTAAATAATTTTTAACATTAGTGATAATATTGGTGCGTTGAATGTTTTAATTTTTGATACAAAACAATTATTATGGACAAAAAGGTATGAAAGTTGAATATAAATCGGACTTCTAACGATTGGATTATTTTAGTGGTAATCTTGGAAATCGTTGGCGTTATGGACATGTGACAGTTAGACGTGCTGATCCATTTCAAATTGCTTTTGAAGGAGTTGTTGGTAAAAGTTTTGATGTAAGAGTAAAATGTATATTTCTTACATAACGCTAGTTAACAAAACGTATTTTCTAGGGAGACATCGCTATTGACGATCTCTTTATACAAAATGGTGAATGTGAAACAGAAGGAAGCTGTGATTTCGAACAAGGTTATTGTGGTTTTTATAATACTCAACAACAAGGTGAAGATCAATTCGATTGGTTACGACAACGAGGAAATACAGAGTCATACGAAACAGGGTAATTCATTGTTTTTTTTACTTTTTTGATAAGAACGTTTAACTGAAATTTTCTTTTCGAAGACCAAGTGTTGATCACACAACAGGTACGACTGCCGGCTATTACGTCTTTATTGAAGCAAGTTATCCACAAAATCTTGGAGATAAAGCTTGGTTAGTCAGTGAAGTATTAGAATCTCCAAAAGGTGCATGTCTTGAATTTTGGTATCACATGTATGGAAGCACAACGGGAAATTTGTCAGTTTATCATCGGATTAATAATCAAAAACCAACATCATTGTGGTCTCTTGAGGTATGTTAACATTCATTTTATGTCTCATTATCAATTAAAAAAATTTTATTATTGTGAATAGGGTGATCAAGGAGATAAATGGCAGTATGTGCAAGTAGATATTCCAACAACTACTGATCATTACGATTTTATAATGGAAGCTGTTGTTGTAAGTCTCGACTCTCGTGACCCGATACATGTCATATAGTGAACTTTTTGTTTTCTCTAGGGTGATGGTTACTCATCTGATATCGCACTTGATGACATCAATTTAACTCAAGGTGGTTCGTGCGTTTATTTTGCATCGACAACCCAAGCACCCATTACTACGCAACCTGTTTTATATGAATGTGATTTTGAACAAAATAATCTTTGTAACTGGAACGTCGAACCAACAGATGTTGTTCAATGGAAAAAGCAGAGTGGTCTAAGTGCTGAATTTGGAAAATCACCGTTGATTGATCACACAAAACAGTCGGTTTATGGTCAATATATCTATGTGGGTATTGAAGCGACAGGCGGTCCAACACAGACATCTACAATTCGTTCATCACCAACATTTGGTGCAGCAACATCCTATTGTTTTGATTTCTGGTATCAATCTTATATATCATCGAATACAACATTAAATATTTATTATAGAAATATAACGGGATCACAACTGTTATGGCGTCGACCGGGTTCGACAGTTAACGATCAATGGACACATGGTACAATTAACGTTGAAATGAGAGCGGGAACTTTCATTGAAATATCCGTTGTTACTGTACCAAGATCTAGTGGTTATATGGCACTCGACGATTTGAAATTTTTAATTGGTACATGTCCAGCTGTGACAGTCTGTGATTTTGAAGATCCATCTATTTGTGGTTATCAAAATGATATTACAGGAAAATTTACATGGAAAAGAAATTCAGGATCAACAACATCGTCTGACACAGGAGCATCGTATGGTAAGAATTATTAACTTTCTAGATATTTATACAATACTTTATTTTTATTTTTGATAGATCACACTTATCAAACAAATATTGGTCACTATATGTACATTGAATCGAGCTTGCCTCAAATTGCTGGCGATAAAGCTAGACTAATGTCACCTGTTTATCCGACAATAACTAGTGGTTCGTGTTTAACATTTTTCTATCACATGTGGGGACCAACGACAGGTTCTCTCAATGTCTTTATACAATCACAAAATGTTCAACAAGGAATACCACTATGGGTAACGTATCTTTGAATGAAATATAAATGCGTAAAAACAATTTGGACTTTTTTTTATCTATTCAGAGTTTGAATGGTGATCAAGGTGATCGTTGGCGTCCAGCTAAAGCCACAATCCATTCACCTGATAAATTTCAAGTAAATTCAATGAATTAGTTTTAACTGAACTTTGATCCTTATCTCTACTTTTTATTAGATAATTTTTGAAGGCGTTGTTGGTTCAAGTTATACAGGCGATATATCGATTGATGACGTTTCTCTAACAAATGGCGCTTGTACACCGAATGGTCAATGTAATTTTGAAACAGATCTGTGTACTTGGACACCATCGAGAGGAAATTCACATTTTACCTGGTATCGTATAACAGCACAACAATTACGTCTAATCTATAGCGGGAAAAATATACCAACAAATGATGTTACAGTTGGTACACAATTTGGTCATTTCTTGTGGGCCGCATCCGACTACGGAACGAATATTGTCAATCAAACGTCGTCATTACATTCAGAAATCTTATTGCAATTTGAATATCCGAGTGGTGCATGTTTTGTCTTCAATTACTTCTTGACTGGATCACATATGATCAATGTTCATCTAAAATATCGATCGTCTGCCAATAGTGATCAGTCAAATTCAATTGTACTGTTGACAATAGAAAATGATCAAGGAAATACATGGCAACGACAAGCAGTCGATATACGAACAATACAAAGCGATTTTGAAATAATTATTAATGGACATTTCAGAGATGGACAAGCGGGCTCAATTGCATTAGACGATTTCTTTATTTATCCACAAAGTTGTTCATTAATACCGACAACCCCATCACCAACAGAACATTTTCAATGTGGAGATGGAACAACTGTACAACATTCACAAGTCTGGTATGCATCAAAATCTTTTATTTTCTTTCAAAATGTAAAGTATGTTTCTATTTTTAAGTAATTTTATCAAAGACTGTGCAAACGGTTATGATGAAGATATATGCGCTGATTGTACATTTGAACAAAATCAATGTCGTTGGGTTGATCGAAGTTTTGGTTCATTTGCATGGAAACGAGGACAAGGTTTTACTGCATCGCAAAATCATAGTGGACCCACTGTTGATCGTGAGTATTGATTTTTATCACTTAATTCAATTATTCCAATTAATTTGTCTGATACGTAGATACTACACATACAAGTCGAGGTTATTATATGTACGTGGATTCAGCTGATGGAATAATTTGGGATGAAGGCATTTTAGAATTACAACAAACACTTCAACCGTCAAGTTCAACATGTGAACTAGAATTCTATTACCATTTATTAGGCGATGATTACCAATATTTATACGTTCATTTGAAAGAAGACGACGATTCAATAAGTATTTGGGAACAAACTGAAGATCAAGGTAAATTTATCATATCAGAGTTATTGTTAAATTAAATGTTACAGATATTACTGTGTTTTTAGGTGATCAATGGGTTCGAGTTTTAATTCCCCTTGGTCGTATATCAAAACCATGGTCAATTCAATTTCTAGCTGAAAGTGGTTTTGGTGAAGGTAATATTGCTATCGATGATGTTAAACTTGTTGGATGTCAATTTCCACCGGAACGACCAACATGTCCCGATGGTTACTTTCGTTGTCAACGTGGAGCATGTGTTCAAATGAATCGTGTATGTGATTTTAGGTAAGTGCTTAAAACTTTTCTCACTATTTTCTGTAGAATAATAAGCATGTACTGTTCGTTCCAGTGATGATTGTGGTGATAATTCAGATGAAATGAATTGCAATTCATATACAATGTGCAGTTTTGAAGACCAAGGTTTTTGTTCATGGACACAAGAAGAGGATAACGATATCGATTGGGAACGAAGTCAAGGACCAACATTTAGTTCAGACACGGGACCAAAACGTGATCATACATTGGGTTTACCAAGTGGACATTTTATATTCTTAGAAGCTTCTTTTCCATCTGTTGAAGGAGATCGTGCTCGTGTTGCCTCACCCGTATTCAATAATTCAGGTAAATTATTTTACAAAAACTTTATTTTTATCTTGTTATCCCATGGCGAAGAATCTTGAAATATGATCTTATAAGATCACACAAGATTTTTCCAAGATCATAGTACGTAATATCACAAGATTTAACAAGACAACATCTTACAGAATCTTGTATAACAACTTGTATCAACTTGCAGTAATTCACAAGATCATACGAGAATTTATAAGATCTTATAAAAATTCACGTGAACATCCAAGCTGATATGACCGCTTTTTACTATCATTTTCTTCTATATGCTCCTATTTTTCTGACATACGTAGGACCTAGACGTCACAGGATTAGTTACATTCTTACGTTATACACTTTCTTTTGTACTCCGCTGAATTATGAAGTTGAAGAAAAAGGAAATTTTGAAGTTTATGAATCAAAATGATGTCGTATATACACTATATATTACAGCAAAATTTTTGAGCTACGATAAGTCATTACTTCTTGCAAGATCTTGTAAGAACATACAAACCGATTACGTATGTTCTTGTAAGATCTTTTTTTAATGACCTTATTACAAGGCTAAGAAAACATCAGATCTTATAAGACATGTTTTATTTCGAATGGAGGAATTTGAGCACTATAAAGCGCGTTATATTGCTGATGTTTTCGCCGGAAATTGCGCGATCGCTGCGCACCAAAAGTAACTCGCGTGTTTAACATATTAGTACAATTTACTGTTGTATTCTAGTTTTGAAAGTGCATAAATTTGGGAGAAAAATGTCAGCTATAGCATCGTCACGCACTCCTAATAGCATTGCATACTCGCTTGTAACATGATAGCTTTTTAATGCGACAAATTTATTCTTTCTTGTAGAAAGCCTTCGCATATTTATCGTGTTACCAACTGTTTCGTATATTATATGAATTCTTTTTATAGGTGGATGTGAATTTCGATTCTTTTATCATCTATACGGCTCGGAAATCGGCGTATTGAATGTTTATATACGTACAACCGTTGGTGGTTCAATGAATAAGTTATGGTCAAAAGATTATGAAGTTGGTGACTTTTGGGTTCGTGCTGATCTTCGACTGATGGGTGGTGAACCATTCCAAGTTGTTCTTGAAGCAGTAGTAGGGGAAGGATATGCAGGTGATATTGCAATTGATGATACGTCATTCACGCCTGAATGCGGTTTAAGTAATGTGGGTTTAGTCACAGTCACCACACAACCAACGACTCTAACACCAAATCCGTGTCAGCAAAATGAATTTTTATGTACCGAAAATCGACAATGTATCAATGCAAGTTTGGTATGTGATTTTAAAAACGATTGTATTAATGGAAGTGATGAGGCTATTTGTGGAACATGTAATTTTGATCAAAAACAATGGTGCGGATGGAAACCGGTGGAATCACTTGAATACGATTGGACATTAGGTCAAGGACAAGCACCATCTGGTCAAGGACCAAGTGTAGATCATACAACAGGAACAGAAAATGGTTATTATTTATTAGTTGATAATAGTATGAGTACTATGCTTGGTTACACATCATTACGCTCACCATCAGTGGGTCCAAGTGGTATTGAATGTCAAATGAAATTTTGGTATTATATAAACGGAAATACAGACTATTCATCAGTTGATGTATTTCTATATCATTTAATGGATGACGACACCGAGCAGTACGAACATCTAGAATGGTTCGATGATCAAGCTCCCGAATGGCAACAGGCAACGGTTAATATTGGACATCAAGCAAGACGATTTTCTATCGGTAAGCAAGTGAAAATATTTCGGAAATATCAGTCATTTATTCAGTAAAATAATTTTGTTCAGAGGTTGATGCTCTTCCGGGTGATTCAAGTGATATTGCTATAGATGATATTGAGTTTTACAATTGTCAAACAACAACAACAATATTAGGTTTACCAATCGATTGTACATTTGAACATGATTGGTGTAATTATTTTCATGATGATACTGCAGAATTTAAATGGGACAGAACAAATCATACAACAGATTCAGCCGAAACGGGTCCAGGATTCGGTAATTATTTACATTATGTGTATAAATAAAATTATGATAATGTCATATATCTGTTTAGATCACACTACTGGTTCCGGTTATTACCTGTTTATTGAGGCATCAACTCCAAGAGTACAAAACGATACAGCTCGGCTACTATCAGCAATTCAAAATCCAATAACAGAACCTCGTTGTCTTTCATTTTGGTAGGTACTTCCTTTGTAGTTATTTTTTTTGAATAAGTAATGTTTCCTCTTTCGTTTTTGTGTATAAAGGTATCACATGTACGGTCTTGACATTGGAAAACTTAATGTTTATGCTGATTCAGTGTCAGCAGCAAGTTTTTCTCGCAAATTAATATGGCAGAAATCATCCAGTCAAGGAAATCAGTGGCTGCAAGGCAGAAAAACAATATCAGATCTAACGGATCCATCATCTAATTGGAGAATTGTCTTTGAAGGCGTTGTAGGAAGAGGATATTTAGGTGATATTAGTTTAGATGATATATTTCTTAGTAATAACCAATGTCCACCATCGAAAATTTGTGATTTTGAAATTGACATGTGCGATTTTGTATCACAATCGGGTAGTATATGGACAAGACAACAAGCACTAAATATACCAAATTTTATAAATATTGATCATACAACATCAACATCATCAGGCTATTTTGTAACTGCCAAAGATAGCCAAGCAATGTATGTTAATTTCTTTTTCCAACTTATTAATCATAATAATTTTTATTTTATACTTTTTAGTTTAAAGAGTCGAACCTATAGTGCAAGTGGTGATGAATGTCTTCGATTCTGGTATTTTATCAATGGTCCGCAATCAACATCGGGTAGTTTAAATGTCAGTATCACGGAATCATCAACAAGCAAATGGTTCAATGATTACTTTTTCAATGAATGGCGTTTTGCTCAAGTACAAGTTAATTCACGTGATACGTTCATGGTTTTATTTGAAGCAAGAAAATCGACGAATGAAGTTATTATCGGTTTGGACGATATCGATTTAAGATTAGGAAAATGTTCACCACCTGTTAATTGTAATTTTGAAGATGGCACATTGTGTAGTTGGACACAATCAAAGACGGACGACGATTTTGACTGGCTATTAAATAGAGGAGAAACGGGTACAGTTGGAACAGGACCAAGTGTTGGTAAGTTGAATAGAAACACGTTTTTATTTTTAATTCTAAAAAGCATCTGTTATATATAACGCAGATCAGACAACAAATTCGAATGTCGGGTGGTATATTTATATTGAAGCAAGTTTTCCGGCTGTCGAAGGAGAAAAAGCGCGTCTTGTTAGTGAACATCTACTAGGTGAAAATGGTTGTTTTACCTTATGGTATCACATGCTGGGTGAAGATATTGGCGAATTGAATTTATACTTGAACAGTCCTTCACATCAAATGGCACTGTTACAAAAAATAAATGGTGAACAAGGTGATCAATGGAAACAATTAGTTCAAAGTCTCTCTTCCCAATTTCAAACAAAAGAAACAATGCAGGTAGGTTAAATTATTGCTTTATTAAACTATTAGTCATCTAAAAATTCTATTTTTTTCACGTTAGTTCGTAATCGAAGGAACAGTTGGCCCATATTGGAATGGTAAGTAGTTGGTAAGAGTTTCCGATCAGTTCTTTTAATTAACTTTTCATAACAGGCGATATTGCTGTGGACGATATTGCTTGGCATGCTGGTAGCACTTGTGATACTAGTTTAACAACAGCCATACCCACCACTATTTCATCAAGCACCGCATACCGTAAGTTTTCGGATATATAGATTCAGCTGTATTATATAATATTACTCGTAATTTATAGCACTACCACAATACGACTGTAATTTTGAATGCAATTGTACATGTAATTGGACCCATGATTCAACAACAAATTTCATATGGAAACTGGCTAGAGGATCAACTGTTTCATCCACGACGGGACCAGAAAGTGACCATACGCTTGGATCAAAACTTGGTAAGTGTAATCTAGGAATACTGGAAAATATATATCAAAATGTGTATATATTTCTGTCTTCATTAGGTTATTACATTTATATCGAAACATCTGTTCCAGCAAAACCAAATGATACAGCAAGATTGATCAGTCCAGATTTAGTTGTAACAGCAGACAGATACTGTTTTCGTTTCTACTACCATATGTAAAGATTACTGATATCAAAATAATAGAAAAAAAGCTAATATGGACTTGTCCTTTTTTAAGGTTCGGCGCGGATATTTATCGATTGAATGTTTATACGAGATATAGTACGTATTAGTTAATTCTACAATAAATGGAAATTAATTGACGTTGTCCTCTTCTTTAGATGGAAATTTGGGTGAACTTTTATGGCAAAGAGAAGGCGATCAAGTATGTCTTAGTTCTTTGATTGAAAATGAAAGGTACTGTAACTGAAGTTTTCTGTTTTAAAGGGAAATGAATGGCGTTTTGGACGAGTTGAATTATCAGACAATATTAATTTGCCAAACGATGCACACTATCAACTCGTTGTTGAAGGAATTGTCGGCAAAAGCTTTTATGGGGATATTGCTGTTGATGATTTAGCTGTTAACGCTGGTTCATGTCCTACATCAAGTACATGCGATTTTGAAGTATCAGATCTATGTGGTTATGTTAATGATCCAACAAATGACGTGTTATGGATTCGACAACAAGGGGGAACACCATCAGCAGGCACAGGGCCAACTTTAGATGTCACATATGGTTCAACTTTAGGTACATAGATATAACTCTGATAGTTAGTAAAATAAAATACTATTGCTCTTATAGGTCATTACATGTATCTATCATCAGATAAAGCAGAAAAATCAGGTGATAGTGGACGTCTAGTATCGAGCGAATATCCGGATACAGTTGGATCTTGTATTCGTTTTTGGGCTCATCTCTACGGAAATAACATTGGAACATTAAATGTGAGAACATATGCCTACGGACAATTGAACCCAAAGATTTTATACACTGTAACAGGAAGTCAAGGTGATCGTTGGAAACTTATTCAAACAACAGTTAAAAGTAGTACACCATATCAGGTATTTTGAAAAAAACTATCTTTAAGTGATTATTGAATCTTGATCACACATATTTTATTTTTAGCTGGTATTTGAAGGAGTTCTGCAAGCTGGTACACATGGTACAGAATTATTTCGATAGAAAGCACAGATAGATTACTTACTATTTTATTACTTATTTTTAGGTGACATTGCAATTGATGATATTGAGGTTCAATCCGGTGAATGTTCCCCATTGGCATCGTGTGATTTTGAAAAGAATATGTGCGGTTTCATCCATTTGAAAGCCGATTTCAATTGGAAACGTACATCCTATCAGCAGGTGATAAGCGGACCAGGAACTGATCATACGACATTAACACGAGATGGTGAGTAATTATCCCTTTAAATTGAAAACTAAGTTATTTTATATAAATATTGTTTGTCAACAGGTTACTATATGTTAATGGATCGTGCTATAACAACACAAGATAAAAAAGCTCAATTAGAATCTGAATTAATATCGTCTAGTGATGGTGTTAAATGTTTGACATGGTATCAATTTACTCGTGGTATAACTGCGGCTAAATTAAATATTCTCGTACGTGATCCAAACACTAATAAAATGATAACATTGTTTACACAAGATGAACCTGACGGAGATGCTTGGGTTTATCACGAATACACTCTACTACCAAATATGACACAGTCACAAACATACACAATTGTATTCGAAGGTGTTGTAGGATCAAAAGTAGGCGACATTGCTCTAGATGATATAAGAACAACAAATGGAAAATGTGCAGGTGTCACACCACCAACGGGACAATATCGATGTTTAAATGGTACAATAATACCAGTGACAAAGGTATGTCCGAAACATTCTGTGAATAAAATGATAGAAAAATGTATAAATTTTATTTTTCAAATAGGTCTGTGATTTTGTGATTGATTGTGCAGGTGGTGACGATGAAAAACGGTGTGCCGATTGTACATTTGAAAATAATGAAGTGTGTGGATGGCGAGCAAATAGTTCGGGATCGTTCACGTGGCAACGTGGAACAAATGGCAGTTCAGCACTAGGCAACGGACCTCTCTTCGATCATTCAATAAACGGAGCAGGTATATAATTAGTATTTTAATTTTCACAACAAATTGAAAATTTCTTTGCTTTTTTAGGATATTATATGTATGTTGCACCAAATAATGGTTTTACAAATTCACCAGCTCGATTAATAACACCCGTACTTAGTCAGTCGGGTTCAAAATGTCAAATTCAATTTTGGTTATTTATATCCGGCTCGGATATTGGAAATTTAGATGTAAAACTTCATACTGGCGGTGTTGAACGTGCAACGCTTCAACGATTTTATTCCAAAGCAGTATCAATATCAAATTGGACACAAATACGAATTGAATTAGGGCGAGTTGATGTTCCATTTCAACTATCATTTGATGCTACACGTTCAATGTCAACCTCTGGTTTTATTGCAATTGATGATACAAAAATGAACAATTGTTTTCTGCCAACAACATCAACAACTTGTTTATCAACACAATTTCGATGCATAAGAGGATCGTGTGTAGCAAAAACACTTTTGTGTGATATGACAGACGATTGTGGAGACTATTCGGATGAACGTAGTAGAGAGTGTTCATCTTATCGAACGTAAGTAATAAATCAAAATACGGCAAATAATACTTGTATTGAATCTTTAATTTATTTAGTTGCACATTTCAAATCTCATTTTGTGATTGGATTCATGATCCAGCAGGTGATTTTAACTGGATACTTCATCAAGGATTACCATCAACTGAACTTACTGGAGTATGTTTCAAATTTTTTCTTAGAGGAAATTTCTAACTTTTTTTGTTTTTACATATTTAGCCGACACGTGATCATACAACTGGTTTTAGTACCGGCGAATATGCATTGATTGACGCATCATCACAAAGATCAGGAATGAAAGCACGTCTAATGAGCCGTATATTTCAACCAACAACAAAAGATTGCCGATTTATTTTCTATTACAATATGTACGGTAAAGATATGGGGGAATTGAATGTATACGTAAAATTGTTTACAAATGGGCAACTACTGAAACTTTGGGGATTATCGGGTGATCGTGGAACGGCATGGATTCGGCACGAATTGAAATTTAATTATACACAACCGTTTCAAGTATGCTTCTTCCGATTGAATAGAATATTTTATAGATTTACTGTGCCCTTTAGGTGTTTGTTGAAGGCGTTGTTGGTGCAGGTCTTTTGTCCAATTTAGCCATTGATGATACCGTTTTTACTCCTGAATGTGTCCTGTCACAACTTTCAACGTTGCCAACAACAAATATTAGCACATCAACTCCGCAACCATGTCCAGCAAATCAGTTTAGATGTGCAGTTTCTACAGATTTTATTTGTATTGATAAATCTAAGGTTGTTTTCATGTTTTTCATCAGATATAATCTTACATTTATGCTGTTACTTATAGGTGTGTGATTTTAAACCAGACTGTCCAGATGCATCTGACGAGGTAGGAATATAGATAACACTCATTCTTATAAAACAGTGGTACAATTTTAAGCCACCTTTTAGCATAACTGTGGTCCATGCAATTTTGAACAAGGTAAGACGATAGACTTTTTCATTAGTATAAGAATTAGTTTAATTTTATACCTTTAGATCAATGTAATTGGGAAGATGCATCAGTTGGAGATTATTCGTGGGTAAGAAACCAAGCACAACAATCAGTTACCAACGCTTTAACAATGAGTGCGCCAACATTTGATCATACGTTGAATAGTGGATTCGGATGGTTAGTCATACTTTTTTAGCGTTCATTTAAAACAGTACTCATTGATTATTCATTTTTCTCTAAGGTACATGTATGTCGATGGTGCTAGTGGTGACTTTCTTGATGTGGCTGTGTTACGTAGTCCATCCTTACCAAAATCGGGTACCCGTTGTGAAATGGCATTTTATTATTGGTTTACAGGAAGCAAAATTGGATCAATTGAATTAGTAGCCATAGCACCAAAATTGAATCTAACTGGTGAAGATCGTATTGTACTTTGGAAGCAAACTCAATCACAAAATAAAATTTGGGTACGTGCAAATGTTAAAATTGGTGAACAATTGGGCACTGTGAATAGTGGCTGGCATTTAACATTTGAAATAACACCAAATCAAAATGGCTCAGCAGCTCTCACCGACGATGTAGCCATTGATGATATTATATTCACAAAATGCAATGAAAACGATACCGATCTTATGATCGGTTGTGATTTTGAACAGGATTTTTGTTCATGGACATTCGGCGGAGATTTTAACTGGACTCGAACATCATCAAAAACACCGTCGTTTGATACAGGACCGCATGCTGATCACACAACTGGAGAGGGTTATTACGTTTTCATTGAAGCATCGATTCCACAAAAACCTAATGATAAAGCGTGGCTCATCAGTCCAATACTACCCACTTCAACATCAAGTTGTCTTGTCTTCTATTATCACATGTAAGCATTTGCGATTAACGTAAAACTGATCGAACTAATAGTCTTCAATTTAGGTTTGGTGCTGATATTGGCACATTGAATGTTTTATACGAAGATAATGCACACGATCGCAGACCAATTTGGTCACGAACAGGTCAACAAGACAACATGTGGAAACGCGGACAAGCGAATTTTGAGAGTAGTGTGGCCTTTAGGCTGATCTTCGAAGGAATTAGTATGTCTCTTATGCGAATTTGTTTCTGCTTAACTTCTGATTTGTTCTTCTGTACTCTAGTTGGTAGATCAGTGGAAGGAGATATATCGTTAGATGATATTGAAATTAATTTTGGTACATGTCCAGTATTAGAAGAATGTGATTTTGAAAATGGATGGTGTGATTGGAAAAATGGTACACAAGGCGAATTTAACTGGAAATTAAACAGTAATGGTACACCATCAGCTGATATAGGTCCTACTATAGGTTGGAATGAAACTAATTATTTTTCTCAGCAGAAAATGGTTTTTTTTATAATGGTTTTTTTCTAGACCATTCACAAGGAACAAAATTTGGTCATTATTTATTTTTGGATTCAATTGGAAGAAAAGTTGGCGACGAGGCGCACTTAGAATCACCGTCATTCAAAGCTAGTCAACCACGTTGTCTTCATCTATGGTATCATATGTATGGAGCAGGAATTGGCAAGTTACAAATTCAACAACATTTCGATGTGGGCCGAATTAAAACATTATGGACAAAGTCAAGTAATCAAGGTAAATAGTGCATATGAGAATGCAGAACTCATACAAGGTAGCATTTACTCCAATTTCTTTTCATTTAGATAATATATGGCGTCCAGCCCATCTAACTATTCCACCAGCGTTAGGTTCAAATAATTACATAATTCGAATTGTCGGTATTGTTGGTGATATCAATGCGAGAGGTATGCGAGTAGAAAACAAGCAGCATTATATTGTACCAATATTTTTGTTTATAGACATAGCCATAGATGACACAAGTATAAGAGAAGGTGAATGTCCTGATACAACTATATGTCAATTCGAAGAAGATCTTTGTAGTTGGGTGAACGCAGAAAATGGTGTTCTCGATAATTTTGATTGGTTAAGAAACAATGGTGAAACACCAACGGTGGGTACCGGGCCAACAGTTGATCACACATTTGGTACACCAAAGGGATTTTACATTTACGTTGAAAGCAGTGGTTTATTCAATGGTGGCGAAAAAGCATGGCTCTTGTCCGAACATTATGATGCGGGAAGATATTGTATTCTCTTCTTCTATCATTTATGGGGTCAAAATCTCGGTACATTGAATTTGTATACAAAAACAACTGGAGCTGCACAACCACAACTCGAATGGGTAATGTTATTTATAAGTGTGGTTAATTTAAAAAAATATTCGGTTTGTTTTTCATGTAGAGTGTAAGTCGTGATCATGGTAACATGTGGCATATGGGTTTGGCAAATGCTGACGTGTCTGCAGAATTTTATTTTATCTTTGAGGGTAAGTTTGTCTAAGATCAGGCACATTTGAATACTATTTAGAATGAAAGATGGAGGAAAATTGCGCCTCTATCAAAGAGGAAGAGTACAAGTGAGTTGCGACCGTAGTACTTAATTATGCTTTCACTATGGATCGATCATAAAACATGGATGATTAATGCGATTAGACTCGACCCCGGTGGTTCTGTGGTTAGAGCGTCTGGCTGAAACCAGAGAGTCCTGAGTTCCACTCTCAGTTGATGCGCAATTTTGCAGCATCTTTCATTCTAAATAGTATCTCAGTTACGTTCCGCTTCGAAACGTATCAAACTATATTTCAAAAATCTGGATACTAATGATTACTAAATTTTAGGTGTTCATGGTGGTAGTTATTTAGGGGATATGGCACTTGATGACATAACTATACTTCCAGGCTCTACTTGTCAGATCACAACCAGTACAACGACAACAACACCTCCAACAACTCTGGGAATACATACACCGTTATCATGTGACTTTGAAATAGACACGTGTTCATGGACATTAGATCCAACAGGAAACTTTAACTGGATAAGACATCAAGGACAAACGGCTAGTATTTGGACTGGACCACATGTCGGTTAGTTGAGAAATGTATGACTGATAGCTCGTACCGCTTTTTACAATTTCTTTTTTATTCAAGATCATACTCTTCAAACACTCGACGGTTGGTACATGTATATTGAGACATCGGAGCCAGATACTGGGGATAAAGCTCGTCTTATCAGTGCACCAACATCCGTTCGACAAAAAGGATTTTGTTTACGTTTCTGGTACCATGCGTATGGAACATCCATTGGTTCTTTAAACATCTACGAACGACCACTAAATCAAAACAATTCTACTTTAATCTATCGAATAATCGGCGATCAAGGAATCGATTGGAAAGAAGCACTAATATTTCGACAGAATGTTGGAAACTATCAATTTGTGATTGAGGGAGAAGTAGGTGATGGAATTTCAGGCGATATTGCTATTGATGACATAACAACAAATGAAGGACCATGTCCTTCTGCACGTTTTTGTGACTTTGAATCAGTAGATGTATGTGGCTATATCTCGGATGTATCAGGAAATTTCAACTGGACAAGACACAAAGGTTCAACCCACTCACTGTTCACAGGACCATCGGTTGATCATACAACACTTACCGAACAAGGTGAGCAAAAGAGTCGTGTAACATTATTTTGGATGTCAATTTTCTAAAATTTTCTCTATAGGACATTACATGTACATTGAAACAAGTTATCCACAAGTACCAGATCATGTTGCTCGTCTAATCTCACCTTTGTTCCCAGCATCAAGTGAATACAATTGTCTTCAATTTTTCTACCATCAGTATGGTGAAGATGTCGGAATATTAAATGTTTACAAACGAGAAACAGGTTCTGGTTCATTAACACCACAAAAACTGTTTTCATCTAGTGGAAACCGTGGCACTGAATGGCATGTGACCGAAATCAACATTGTTCCAACTCAACCCTACAGTATTATTTTCGAAGGTTTTGTTGGTAAAAGTTTTGAAGGTGACATTGCAATTGACGATGTATTAGTAAAAGATAAATTTTGTGCACCAATGGGCTATTGTGATTTTGAAGAAAATTTATGTGCATATAAAAATTCAGAATTTAATCGACAGTTAGAATGGATACGATTTCGTGGTGAAACGCCAAGTGGATTTACCGGACCAGCTACTGATCATACGCTGGGCACAGAATATGGCACATATATCTATTTGGAAACATCATCGCCAGCGAAAGAAGGTGATCGAGCCGTACTTGTTAGTCCAGATTTAGATAATACAGCACATTACTGTTTTCAATATTATTACCATATGAGAGGAGATAGTATTGGTAGTTTGAATATCTATCGTCAAACGTATGCAGATTCAAGTGCTCGAATTTCTGTAGGAACGCATACAGGTGATAAAGGAAATCAATGGAATATCGGTCAAATACAATTAGAGTCTTTGAAAAATCAAACAAATAATATTTACCGCTTGCTGATCGAAGGCGTTGTTGGTTCGTCATTCGATGGAGACATAGCATTGGACGATTTTTCAATTTCACTCGGAGCGTGCCCACTAAAACCGAATGATTGTCAATTGAAATGTAAGCAAAATGACACATGCATACCATCATCGAAAGTATGTGATTTTAATTGGGATTGTCCAGATGGTGATGATGAAAATATATGTCAATACAATTGTGATTTCGAAGCATCAACATGTAATTACACAGATCCATCGGTGGGCGATTATAGATGGAAACGACAACGTGGTGCAACACCAGGAACAAATACAGGTCCAACATTCGATCATACAACTCTATCATCATCTGGCTGGTACATGTACGTCGATTCAGTTATGGGTTCAATTGATGATCGAGCTCACCTGTTCTCACCTACATTTCAACAAGCGTCATCAACATGTGAATTAACATTTTACTATCATATGTTTGGTCAAAATATTGGACGTTTAGAAGTTTTCTTACTTGAGGGTATACAAGACAGTCGTCTTTGGAGTTTAACAGGTAATCAAGGAAATCGTTGGCAAAAAGCGATTGTCAAAATTGGAAGAATTTACAAACCATTTCGAATATATATTGATGCCAAGAAAACATCAAATTCATTTGGTGACATTGCAATTGATGATATTTTCTACGAAGGATGTAATCTTATGCCAACAAATCTAACATGTACAAATGAACAATTTCCATGTAAACGAGGTGGCTGTGTGGATATTAGTCGACTATGTGACTATACAGACGATTGTGGCGACATGTCTGACGAAGATAACTCGACGTGTTTCAATACACATTTGATGCCAGGGTAAGTGTCTGGTTTTAGAAAGTTATTCTCTTAATATATTTTTTCTCAATTTTAGATGTAATTTTGAACGTGATTTGTGTAAATTGAATCAAATGCCATTCAATGATTTACCCTGGCAGCGATCACGTGGTGCTCAATTAGCATCGTTTTATGCTCCACCACATGATCACACTACAAATTCACCGGTTGGTTATTATTTATATGTTGAAACAACAGGACAACAAGTTGAACGTTATGCTCGATTACAAAGTCGAAGTTTTGAATCACTGAATATGTGTTCTATTCGATTTTATTATTATATCAATGGTATTAATCCTGGCATGTTATCGATGTTTGTTCGATCAGAAAATGGTGGTCCGTATACATATCTATGGTCAGCGACAAAAATAATTGGATTTCATTGGGAGCGACAAGAAGTACGAATACCAACTGCAACCTTGTATGAATTAATTATTGAAGTGAAAACATTGAGTGGCAATAGGGCTGATGGGTTTATCGCAGTCGATGATCTATCTTTTTCATCACAATGTGTGGGTGACACTCCTTCGTTACCATTTGGAACAACCACTCAACCAAATGGAACTACCACATCCCCACAATCATGCACATATCGATGTGACGATGGAACATGTATCGGACAAGATAAAGTAAGAAACAACTTCCTTAATTTGTAAGTTGAAACATATTGTTCTAATTTTATTATAGCGTTGCAACTTTATTAATGATTGTCGCACAGGAGAAGATGAAGTGAACTGTGGACCATGTAATTTTGAACAATCACAGTGCGGATGGAATGATGATAGTACAGGATATTATGTATGGGCAAGAAGAAAAGCCTCAGCCATATTGTATATGCCTGGTGATTTTACAACCAGTAGGTTTTGGCTAATATTTTTCTGTTAAAAACAGATAATTAATATCGAGATTTTCAATCTAGATCGAACAAATGGCAGTGTTATGACTATCTCTAGTGGTTCAGGAACGTATGCTGGCAGTAGTCGTTTAGTATCGGAACGTATCGCATCTACAGCTGCTTCGTGTGAAGTGATGTTTAGCTTCTATCGTTATCGTGATAAAGAGGGAACCTTGTCACTCTATTTGGAAGATGATAAAAGTAGTCGAACAAAACTTTGGTCTAACGACATAATCAATGGTCAATTCTGGACCCCGATCACAGTTGGTATTGGTCGACGTCGAACTGGTTTTCGACTTGTTTTTATTTCTACACATGTTGGCTTAACATCAATAGCATCGGATATCTCGATTGATGATGTCAAATTGCACGATTGTCAATTTCAAACACAAGGGCTTTGTGAGTCAATCCCCGATCCATTTCAATGTAAAATAAATCAAAACTGTATCTCAATAGATCAGGTAAGACAAAAAACAATATATATAGAAAATAATGAGAACTAAATTTTGCGCTTGTTTCAGTTATGTGACTTTAGTGATGATTGTGGCGATAATACGGATGAACAAGGTTGTTCGACGTATGTTGAAATGTGTAGTTTTGAAGATTCGGATACGCAAATGTGTGGTTGGACGCATGATTACGATGCCGATTTTCAATGGAAACGTATTCGAGGTGATGATTTATTTACAGATTGGTACGATGATTGGATAACGTATGGTCCCGATCGTGATCATACTCTAGGTAAGTGTACGATATGGCATCTCTTCTGTAAAATCATGTATACTGTTGTTGATACAGGCACATCGAGAGGACATTTTCTATTTTTGGACACATTGAACCGTCAACCGAATGACACTGCAAGAGTCATTAGCTCTGTATTCGCACCCACAACAGATAGCTCATGTCAGTTTCGTTTTTGGTACCACATGTACGGAGTAGATATCAATGGTAAGTGTATCGTCGTATATCGTAGTTTTCCTTAACTTAAAATGTATTTTATAGCGTTAAACATTTATACTCGAACATATGTCGGTGGTCCTATGCTTCTTCGCTGGAGTAAAACAGGATCAAAAGGTGATGAATGGTTACGTGCGAAAGTTGGATTAAGCAGTTCACAACCATTTGAAGTACTTATTGAAGGTGTTCGAGGAAAAAATTACCAGGGTAAGTTAAAGCGTTCTTCATAAAGACTATAACTATCTTTGCGCTTCACTCCAGGAGATATTGGAGTTGATGATATATCGTTTACACCTGGTTGTCGTATTCAATCTCAACTAACGTTACCACCATTTCAATATTCTACTACGCAAAGTCCCTATTGTAATTCAACACATTCTCACTGTGAAATTGGCAAACAGTGTATACCAAAAGAACAGTTTTGTAATTTTAATATTGAATGTACCGATCAAACAGACGAAAAAACATGTCCACAAGCGTGCATATTCGACGGCAAATCTTTCTGTCAATGGGAAAATGATCGAAAAGCCGAACGCAAATGGCTGTCGGGAAATGGCAAAACACCATCAGTTGATACGGGTCCAAACACAGGTTAATTAAGGTCGATTTTCTTCGGCATCAGTAACCTGAATATCTTTATTTGTGTTAGATCATACTACTGGCACTCCCGATGGATTTTACATTTATTTGGAAACCAGCGATGGTATAACTGGACATAAAGCACGTCTAATTAGTCCTCTATATAGAAAATCATCGAAAACATGTTCATTCACATTCTGGTATGTTACTCTATTTTGTTTGATTCTCTTGTTTCAGTATACGTTGCTGTTTTTTTTTTTCAAGGTATCACATGTTTGGACAAACGGTGAACACATTAAATATTTTCATACGCGCAAGTAATATCGACACTCTCCTATGGTCATTAACGGGTGAACAAGGGAACGAATGGTTTTTTTCAAGAGTTAATTTACCACAATGTGCATCCGAATTTCAAATTGTTGTTGAAGGCATTCGAGGAACGTCATTTACGGGCGATATTGCATTGGATGATTTTCGATTTGAAGAATGTTACGAGAGACCTACAGCGTGTGCACTACCTGCGGGAAATGCATTCACATGCAACAGCGGTCATTGTGTACCAGACACTAATAAATGTGATTTTGGATTGGACTGTTGTGATGGAACAGATGAAGATCCTAATTTATGCTATGACTACAACAGGTAATTATATAACATCGAAATGTATTATCATACGATCTCATTTATTTTTCCGTGGTTAGATGTGATTTTGAAGAATCTTTTTGCCTATGGGAAAACACCGTTGAAAGTCATATAATGTGGGAACGTTATCGAGGAGATAGTCGACCATTTCCAAGTCGTCCACCGTACGATCACACAAAACAAACCCAATCGGTAAAAGTGTAGAATATATAAAGACGATGAAAAGAAATGTTCATCTTGCTTTATGTTTTAGGGTAATTATTTACAATTACGAACCAATCCAACAACTCCACGTGGTTCAAAAGCTTACATCTCAACCGTCACGGATATACCCGAACAAGGTTGTACATTGAGATTTTGGTACTACTTTAAAGGCGATAATGGTGGAATATTATCTGTTTACTATCGTTACGCAATCGGCGATGTACTCTCAACAATAATAACGTTAACAGATCCAGCATCTTATTGTAAATCAAATGACACATGTCGATGGGAACGAGTTCAAGTACAGTTAGATGGCGTACTCAAGCAACCAAGCGAAGTACGTAATCAACACAAAAATGTTTTCTCTCTAAACATGATTTGTTATTTTTTAGATTGTCATAGGTGTTTCAACAGGAGCAAACCAAGATAGTATAATGGCCATTGATGATATAAGTTTTACACCACAGTGTCGAAAATACAATGGTACACGACCAATAGTCACAACTGCATCTCATACTGGTTCATCCACAAGTACATCTCATACTGGCTCATCCACAACAAGCACAAAAGTTCCGCTCGGTATAGAAAATCGGTCTTCATTCGTTTAAAAATGACACGTTACATATATATTGCTTATTTAGACTGTGCAAATTATTGTTTGAATGGAGCTATTTGTAAACCATCTCAAATTGCAGACGGAAAACCAACTTGCGAGTACGTATAAGCATAATCTCGAAACTCTCTTTCCTCTCTAGTATTATAAATTACTACTTTCTCTTTTTAAGATGCAAACCCGGTTACACTGGTGACAGATGTGACCAGGAAAAAAAAAACAATAAAAGCAATAGTAAGTATCAGTATGAAGTTATCAAATTTGTGATGTGACAAAAAAATTTGGTGTTTTTTAGCTGCAGCTATTGTGGGCTCAGTTGTTGGTGCCCTAGTTGTCATTGTTATAGTTGCTGTTGGACTATTATATGTTCGACCGAAACTGAAAGCACGGTATGTGTCTTGTACAATTTTTTGAAAATAACTCAATTAAAACTATTTCTCTTTTCGCTTCTTTCAGTAACGAAAGTGTTCGACTAATTGATCCTTCAATAGATACAGGGCCAATTATGAATCCACTATTTGAAACAGTTGTAAGTATTTTCACCTATTATTGTGGCTGAAGAAATTAAGTTATAAAATTATTTGTGCTTTAGGCTGCTGCAACACAAAGTAATAGATCTGGTGGTACATCTGATGCATAATTTGCTTCTTAGAATTATTGAATTTAACTATATATTTCTATATTTTTGTTAAAAAATGCGTTGTTCTTTTATTTTTCTGTATTTGTTAATTTTTGTTATTGAAATAAAAAGAGAATTTATTTAAAACCCAAACTTCGAACAAGTCAAAAACTGATAGATATAGCTAAATACTGTAGAATCCAGGAATTTAAGAAACAAGTTCTCACATGGAGACTTCACTTTACTAATATATACCCATTTCAAATCATTCTACTCATTTTCGTAATCAAAAATTACTGTCAAGTTATGTCAGAGAGTTCTTAATGTAATCAAATTTCTACTATATATCTGTCCATTAAAGAACTCGATCATGTTTTCATAACTGAGATCACAGAGCTTTACCTAACTATCAGCTAACTTTTAAGAGCATTTTTAACTGAAGCAAAAACGTATTCATATTGTCGATTTTTTAATACTTCCGGTGCAAGTGAAAATTGCGCATACTTGCACTGTTGCGATCGCTATCAAAAATCATATTGTCATCCAGACCTAATTGTCATCTGTCTATCGACTTTATCTTTGTCAGTATTTTTTTCGTCGCAATTCCAACCGTAGTGAACCAAAAGTTCTTGTACAAAGTATTCTGTCGCTTTTCTACTATGTAGTAGAAAGCAACAGACATACCGTTGAAAGCCTAAAAGTTTATCTTTGGACTAAAAAAATGTTTGTCGTTTTTCATTTTGATAATAACTATTTAAAATTTATTGCTAACATATTTGTTCACATGTCAACCTGTAGAGCAGACTTTTCTCGGTAAAATCTATATATTTAAATACGTTATCGAATTAGAATAAGGACGAGAAAAGGTGCTTTATTGACAAAGTTACTATTTGTTTCACTTATTCCTCAGTTTATATAGAAGGTAGCACTCAGTAAACTGCTTATTACTTGTTACCTTCTAATGTTTTAAGTCGCTTCTATCTACAGCTTTGTAGAGAAATGTCTGCTCCAAAGCCATGCATATTCAAAATATCTGAAGAATTACATCACAGAAATGTATTCACCGTCAGAAAAGCATATATTTTTTCTTTCGCAGATAATCTTTAAGTTCACAGCAGAACTCGCTGATCTATGTTGTTCAAAATGTATTGCTCAATACAACGGTTCGTCATCTAACTGAAATAAGATCTCAAAATGTAAGTTGTTCTTATCTACTGTTTTTTATTGAATAAGGGGACTGACATAAGTATATGAAGATAACATTCGCGCTTGAAGTTCACGACTTGAAAACTATTATCCGACAATATGACGTCTAAAACAATTCATTGCGAAAGCCACTCTTATATCTTGTGGATGATACAACATAGGCCGGTAACGAACTCTCGATGCGTCAGTCAGATACGAACTGAGCTAGGATAAACACTATAAGTAGTTATATATGTATTATACCGAGGAAACTCACGTGAGAAATTACCCTAAATGGAATTTGTTGAATCAAGATCTTGAGTGAATGATACAGCTACTGATTTAGATTGAGCTATTTTGCGCGTAGAAATCCACAAGATTTTCTTTTATCGTAGTTTTGCCAAAGATTTTACAGAATTACAACAGGTGAACGCTTTGTGCTGTCGGTTTTTCTTCATAATTACGTTTGATTGTGGTTGATCATTAGCCTACACTGTCATATTAGTATTTCAAGGCTCTCATTTAAATGCTAAGTAGTTTTTATAGAATGCTAAGTAAAAAGTTATTTTATTTCTAAGTAATTTATTAAAAATAATTATATTTTTTGAAAAACAAGCAGAAATGTGGTTTAGTGGCTCACTCTCATGCTCTCCACTCACCCCCTCCTTCACCGCCCCGCTCACACAAAAATATAGCTTGCTAAAGTAGGAATTAACTTAGCTAATTAACAAAAATTAACTTAGTATTTAGGTAGTTTTACTTAGCAAAAAAATAGTAATCTTATTTTAATAACTCGAAAACGTAGATTTGAAATCGTGCACTTCTAGTTATAAATCCGTCTCTCTTATATTAATCTGTCCAAAGATAAGGAGCAAGTAATTTTTCTAATGCATTATAATACGTCGCGCACATCAAAGTCTTTAGGGCGTCGTTCTATTTAGGGTGTCGATCGATACTGAAGATACTAACCGAGCACATGTAACAGAACAAAATGAGCATAAGTTGAAGTAGTTTTTATGCACAGAAATCATAAAATGACAAAGCCTAATTATACACATAGCTCTCTGACGCATATTTACTCGTAAACGTTCGTGAAATTGCAATTTTGGCATGGAAACATCTATAAAAATACTAAGCGTGAAAATCCATGACAAAAACTTAACGGATTACGCGAGAATACTAAATTCTTGCCTATGTGTGCTGTTTAACAGATTAGTCTTTAGAAAAATTCTTGATAAGGATTAGATTAAAAAAACCGAATAAACAGATACTCGAAGATGAAAAAAGTAGACAGTGAATGAGAATCCTGCAAGTTACAACTTTCTGGCTACCAACTACCTAAACCTATAAAAATTTTAGCCTATAAATTTAAATTAGAGAACATCGGTCAAAACTTTGTTATTTTACTATTATTTACGAACTTAACAACTTATTCAAAAGTCTGATTTGAGATTGATCATTGTTTGGCCTGTCCAAAACTACCAGAAATTGACCCTAGAAATGTACAAAAAAGTCTTTTGAGAACTCCTGATACAGATCTGATTTCCTGCGAATTGAGCTATGCATCTGAAAAGTTTCTAGAGGCGTTTGTATAGAAGCTAACGGGCTTTCTTTTGGTAAAAATAACTTTTTTCCTCATGCCAAGAAAAGTCGATTTTGTAAAGTAACGCTGTAAGGTTTCTTAAAAAGACTCCAGTTGAAAATAAAGTTCGAAAAATTCTCTGAGGCTTTCAGAACAAGGTGGAAGTTGAAACGTTCAAGCAGCCACTGTGTCTCGACTGAAAAATAGATCTCAAAACAAAATGAGCCATTTTGTAGAGAATTAAATTCTCTATTCAATGATATATTTTTAAAAATTTTTGAACAAAGTGTCTAGTTCAGAAAACTGAAATTAAAATTTTTATATTGAAAATTAATTTTTTCTTCAGAAACCAAAAGACAGATTCGTGATCGGCATGACAAGCTGCGTCTAGTGATGTGACCCTACCGACTTTCCGATGAAAAAAATTCAAAAAAAACTTGATTGGTGAAGTGGACGAGTCGTATTGAAGGTACCATACGCGCGTGTCATAGTAAGGTCTCTAATCTATCAAACATAGCATAGAATAAAATGACGTGTTTATAATGATATTTATATCTTAATATTTATATCGATTTTGAGAAAAGAAAAATTTATCCTCATTTTAACGAATTAATTAAAAATGGGTATACAATTTATTTTTTTGAAACAAAAAATACAGATAAAACGTTGTATGGTTGATTTCACTTGTCTACATCAAATTCACCTATACCATGCTCTACTACGGAAAGAATACAGAGAAAGAAGAGAATAAAATTATAATAAATTGGTAAGAACTGGTGCATAGATTCTTTTTTTATTCGTTATTAGTTATAGTACTGCCAATTTTTGTTTGACATATACAATAAGAAAATAAACATAATATATCAATATGTACTAACTTTATGATGGAGGATTACAATATAACACAATAGACTTGTGCACATCTGCACTTTCCCTATAGCTCAAAGAACTCAATGGAGTCAGAATCGAGCAGCACTGTATGATCAACGAACACTTGAAAGGAATTTTCAATTTAAGACCTCCTCATCCACGTTATTCAACAACACGGAGATATTCTATCTAGAAACATTGGGCGAAAACAAGACTCATACTACTCACAAATAAAAACGCCTCTCTTTCGATGCTATCAAGTGCTTCTCGTTCTTCAGAACTACAAAAATTACATATTTCTAAATGTTGAAATAAGAATGGAAAATAGAATTTTAGATTAAGCGCTTGTTCGAAACACAAAATAGTTCAAAATACACTCTGTTCGAGTAGCAGCAACATCAAAACCACGAGTATAAGGACTTAGCTTAGCTCTTCTGTGCGATTAAATGGAGCAACGCTAACACTTTTGAACGATTTTACGATTGAGAAATGCCCTTGCAACATGTGATTATGCTTAAATAGATCATTATACAACTTTGAACATACTGTGTTCAAGCATGAGTGAAGATTATGAAATAAAACTGAGAATTTTATTAGCATGTTATTAGCAAATATTAAAGTATTCTGTTCTTATTTAGATATCCAAGACCAAATTGATAACAACATTCGCTTTAAAGATGGGATGGATGTGGATAACCGACTCGATCAGTATGGTACCGACATGGCACGAACATTGGACAGGAAAAATCAGATAAAATAAAAAAATTTATGGTAATCATAGAAAACAAAAGAATAAATAATAGAACAGAATAAACTTCATCGACTCTTTCACAGTACATTTTGCTTGACGAAATAAAGAAATGAAGAACTCTATTTGAATCACTAATATCTAAGGAATCATATATCATATATTAGTAGGTGGAAAATAACTTAGAAATAACAACGACATCATCGTGGTAAGTAAAAAAATGATTATAAATATCCTTCCCGTTCGAAACAAATCGTTGTCAAAAATATTATCAATACACTAGTGATTTTATTTCATGCTAGATTATAGATAATCCCCAAATAAATCCCCCTATGCGGTGAGATCTAATCTAGAAAGTCTAAAAGCATAAACAGTGACTTCAAACTGACGATCCGGGGGAACATTCTTGATATATATATTTGGCTGATGCAAATTCTTCTCTTCAGATTACACTTCAAATAATGTGCAAACCAAAAGTTTTGTAATAATAAGCTACTTGAAACAATCTTAACGTGTTTTATCGCTGTAATCATTTGAAGTGGCATGTAAACGACGAGAAAGTGAGAGTTATCACCTGTCTATGTATTAAATTTATTGATTTAAAAAAAGTTTTAATTGTATAACTTTTTCTCTTATCTCTCTCTTCAGTGTAATGATTTGTTACTATATTTCTTTGTGATGAACTCGTGCGTGTATGATAGATTTATCAAACAGAGGAGGAATTTAATTAATTCCTTCTTCTCTCTTCTGGTCATTCATCTACAGTGTACTTTCGTAATTCTTTCCGCATCCATCGTTCTTGTGTTTTTGGAATAGGATACTACTAATTGGCTGTCTTATGTGACTGATTTTATCTGAACCTTTTTTCTTTGGATCGGAAATTCATTTTTAATATATTCAGAGACGATAGGTATCTTTCTTTTTTCTTGTTTGAGTGATTTAACTTTTCTTTTTAGTGTTGAACAATAATTAGAATGATAATCAGTGCATATCTTGTCGTCGCTACTACCGTTCATATCAGACTTTTCCCACAGATAAACTTATTTGTGGCACGTAAACGTAAAAAAAAAATGGTGTCCATCTATCAAACATACGCATTCATCATTTAAATAAAGACAGGAAATGTGCGAACAAAAAAAGCTATTTTTCTTCTTTTTTTTTGTTCTATCGTAGACTGAATAGTACTTTTGACGTCGATATTAATAATAAAAAAGTTACTTCTGCCATTTAGATTGGACACTAAAGTAAAAAATGATGATGCAGCCACATCAGCAGTAGCTGTCAATTTTTTTTCCTTTTGTTTAATATAATTGCGCTACGGATGGTTTCTAAACTAGATAAATCAATTTCAGTCTCTTCTAGTGACAAATATCGTAGAGAGAACAGTGAAGCTTTCTTTTCTCCCTTTCTCATTTGACCGAATAAAAAACAGAAACGATCCTGATACAGCGTCGTGGTGATGGTATGTGTTTATACGAAAATAATGAATGCATATGTATGTGTCAAACTATAAATTAGTTGTTCAGATTAAAGAAGGAGAGAACGAGAAACTCCGTCTCAAATTAATAATTTATCATGATCGCAAAAATTAAGCTAAATAACTTGGTTTGTTGGAAGTTTATGCATGTCGAAGTGAATTTTATGTAAACAATTTGTTCAAGATAGTAGGTGTATGCAGGTCAAAGTATCTTTACAAAAATCTGACGTCTCATTGCGCAAGATCAGATTGACCATCGTTCTGCAAAAAAACAAACATTTCAACTGTATCATTTCCCTTGTAATTTGATGTTGCCAGTACGTTAAACTGTTCTCACAATTGTTCAATGTATATGGGTAAAATTAAAAAAATGAGAGAAAACTCGAAGTGCTTAGAATGGAGGGACGCATGCGAAAGCAAAGAAAAAGTGCAGAATTTAATAGAGTAGCCTCTCGTTGGTTTTTTGTATGCTGATAATTATATAAAAAACTTTTAAGAAAAAAAATGTCTTATGCATGAACGGGTGGACAAGGGAGAATGCGAGCGTCTATTGCAAGCAAAACGTAGAGAGAGATGTGTACGCAAAACAGAAGTAAAAAAAGAAATAAAAATATGGTAGAGGAATCATTTAAATAGTGCCCATGCGTGTACACTATTTTTCTTCTATATCGTTTTCTTTTTAACGTTTTTTATAAATTGGTATGTTGTGGATTTTTTTTACTGCTCGTTCTCTCTCTCAAAATATATATAGTAGATGTGTATGGTAAAATTGTCAAATTGAATGTTGTAGTATACCCATACATACACACACAAAAGATAATTTCGCGATGGTCGGTAGTCGTTAGTTTTTTTTGTCCGTTTTAGTGATTCTATCTATATAGAATAGAAAGAGGGTGGATACATAAGTAGAATTGCCATCTTTTCCTTTTTTTGAACTTTGTCCCATTCTCTGCTTTTTGAGATTCTGTATTTTGTAAAAAAAAAGTTTAATAGAGATTTTTTTGTAAACAGATGATCATTTCTTTAAGAGGTTGGCCTCAATTTCGTTTCACCGGTCAACTTTTGAGGTTTAGGATTCCCATATATTAGGAATTCATTTTAACACTAATGCAGTTAGATGTTACAGCTGTGGGAGGCTTTTATACCTGTCCTCACAATCACAAAACACTAATTATCAATAGAACGACATATAATAGATGTCAAAATGATAATTTTAGCATAATTGATGATTATACTAGTTGTAGTAGCAGTCATTGTGAGCGACACCTTGCTGACCCTTTAAATTCAACGTTCTATAGACAACTCAATTCTTTACAAGATAGGTTATTCAAATTTTTAGTATAATGAAGTTAAACCCGTCTCTAGACCCGGACATATCCGTAAGAATGGTCAAAGAGGATATAAACTCTTATAAAGGTTGAAATTTTTGCTTCTTTCGCTGATCATACAAAACTTTTTTCGTTTTTTCTCTACTTTATGAGCTAACTTCAACACTGAAGCTCAATAAACGTGAATCTTTGGTTCTAATATTAACCATTTCGAAGATGGTTAGGTCTGTAGTTACGTTTTCTGCAAATCCAATCATATAGATCAATCTAACCCAAAAAAGATCGATCGTAAAGGAATATTTCTTGACCAATCAGAAGGTTTGTAGATGCTCTTTCTTTTAGCCGTTCTCATTCACTCTCGCTGATCAGTCGTTCGAAGGTCAATATTTAGAAAGAAGTAATAAACAGGTTTAGATTCAACATTGTCACACCAAGTTTACAATTAATGAGATTCAATCTAACTTCTAGAAATGTACTGAAGTTTCGTAAGTTTGATCCGTAGCTGACCTCTCGAGAAAATCCCGTTTTACATTATCCAATTTTTGTCATTTTGTTGCGTTTTTCGCTAAACATATAAAAATGCGGTCGAAAGTAAACACGATTTGTCAGCATCTCTCATTCGACTTTTGTTTTTGACTAGTGTGATGAACTTCTAACACAAAAAGTGTGAAGACTTTTATTCTATTGCTATATTGACCTAATATTGTAACGAAAGTTGTAAAATATATGATATACCCTTGTCATGAATATATATTTGTCGAAGAGACACTGAATTCTCAAAAGATTAAAAGGCTTTTTTTACCATTATCTAATCGCCATATATATAGACTGAATTTAAAATAGATGTATATATGCCAACTCCAGAGTATTCCTGTCAAATAAGCCTAAGATCACCTTTGTTAAAATATCTAAGGACACGATAGGTTTTAGTTTTGGAGAAAATCCCATCTGTCATCTAGGAGATTTTTGTGATGGATTTGAGAGATTTCTCGACTTATTAACCATTTTTCTCGGAAAAAAGCGTCAGATTCATGATCCATGTGAAATAGTACAGCGAATCACACATCTGACAAATGTTTCTTAATTAAACAATTTTTGTCGTAAATCCTAAACAGGTAAAAATATTCCCCATAGTAGTTTTTTAAAGAAAAGTCTTCTGAAATGTCTGGAAAGTCATTTATAATATGTTTACTAGTACCCCATACAACTAGTAGTGGTGATAAGTGATCGCTTCTTCCTGGTATCATTAACCTTTTTTAATATGTATTTAAAGGAATGCAGTCAATACTCTTCATTGATTAGAAATGTATAATTGTGGTTTTGTTTCTCTCTATTCAGATTGTCAATGTTCTAAATCTAGCATCTAAATTCATTTTTTTAGTATTAATTAAGAGTATGCAAGAACGTGCTTATACATTGCCATTGTATTCATTATCTCATAATGTATATAAACAACTATCCATATCACCTGATACAAACACAAGTAATAATGACACGAATAATTCAGATAATTCAGATCGGTCCGAACAAGTATGCAATTCGGAAAGTAATTCATCAACACCCGAACTGAATCTTCTATTAGATAAGTTAACGGAACTTTTAAGGTTTCGCAATCATCGACACTTATTAGCATCACATCATCATTCACATTATACAACTGGTCCTAAATCGGGAACATTTTCATCGTCATCATTAGTAACAGGAACAATTTTAAAACGTCTACAATCTGGTTCGACTGAATCATTAGATGGTCGGTCAGTTCGTACCATATATCATAATGCCGGTGTTTCATCAATGAATTCATTATCACATTCTGCTAGCGCTTCATATTATCCACAACAAACACAACAAAAATCATTGTCATTAACATTGACACAATCGAGAAGTACAAATACGAGTAATGGAATTAATGAGAAAACAAAACGACGATTACCTAATGTACTACAGCGACTCGTCGATGAAGGTAAAGGGTGTATTATTAGATTCTAGTTGTAGACTAAGCAGTTGACGTTTAATACCAAAAAATAATTTCGTTTCATCTCGTTTAGGTAATTTAATTAAGGAAGCAGTTCGTCGTTTAAAAACTCAACGCTTCACACCTCAATTTAGACACACCACTCCGGTATCAACACCAAATCAAAATCGACAGCAACTGACGATGCAAACGCCTACAAAAATAAACGATATTCCACAACTAAAACAACAAATGGCACCACCACGTGAACCGCCATGTTGTTTAACACCAAATACTCAAAATAGTATCATGATTTCGAATCAAATAAGCGATCTACCGACACAAACAACATCGTCATCAAGTCCCTTTAGCTGGATACCATCTGCTGTATTCGGTATTACATCGAGTAATTCGAGTGGTAGTGGAAGCCCGTTACGTAGTTGTTTTAGTCACGATCGCACACCAATGGAAATGGGTGGAGGGTGTACAATTAGCATTACGGGTGGATCCGGACATTAATAAACTATAAATGCGGTAAGTTATTTTATCCTGTGGTCACAAATGCATAGAAAAAGTGAGGAGCAACAAATGGAAACTTATGGATGGATTTCTAAACGAATGCGGAGACCTATCTTATTCAAAAGACCATAAAACTCTAATGAAGAAAATATCCTTGAGAAAGTTTCAAACTATCAATATAGAGTCGTGAACAAGCAGCTTGGTCGATTCTGATTGGCAACTCCTACCAGTATTGATCAATATTTTTCGTACTGAAAAGCAGAAGCTCTCCTAGTAAAGTAGAAAATGAATTTATAACACGGCTAGAAGTGAGACAGAATTTGATAGACAAATATATATAAACGCCAGAAGTACTAACCACTGAGGTACCGAAGCTGCTACCAGATCATCCGGGGTACGATTCGCAGTTGAAGCATACATGTTCTTTTAACGTGTATATCTATCAAATTATCTTACCTCTAGCTGTGTTAAAACTCATTTTCTAATTTCATCAATTTCACAATTCATCTGTTTAATGTAGTGTAAAGGAACTCAAAATGAAAACAACTGGGTTTTCGAAAACTGAAAATGTAAAACATAATCTTTTTTCTTGACGAACGTTTTTAGTTGATTTGATATACATTGGAAGCGAACACAGATATGACATAACCGCATAACCACACCTAAGTTTTCCGGATATGGAAAAATACTTGTTTCGCAAAACTATTCTAGGAGATATTTTTACCTGTTTAAGATTTACAACAAAAACTTTTTACTTAAGAAACATTTGTCAAATATGTGATTCGCTGTACTATTTCACATAGATCATGAATCTGAAGTTTTTTTCCGAGAAAACTGGTTAATAAGTCGAGAAATCTCTCAAATCCATCACAAAAATCTCCTAGATGACTGATGGAGTTTTCTCCAAAACTCAAAATTATCATGTCCTCAGATATCTTAACAGAGATAGGTCTAGACGTTTACTACTGGAAAATATGAGCGACCAGGTCTCAGGCATATTTCCATGATCGTAGCTTTATGCACTTTTGAATGAGATAGGCATTCATATCTCCATAGAAAATTGTGTAAAAGATGGGCAATATCTTATGGATTTCCTTTAGTAAGAAGAAAAAATAATGAAATCGCGGAATACAGATGTTAAAAAATATTTTTCTCATATTATCATAAATGTAATTTATCGAAAAAAGAACTTATCAACTACAGTTGCTGATCGAAGTTGAAGAAATGCTTCCTCACAATTGAATCATTCATTTATCGATTTCTCTTTCTTTAGATCAGTTCGCAATCGTTTGGAAATATTTTTTGTTGAAAATGACAAGAGTTTAAAAAGCAATAATTCAGAAATATGGCATATATGTGTGCTTATTCATTTCTCTTTGTTGTATTAGTTTATTTATCTTTATTTCACTTTTTCATAACGTACCACATATACAAAGTATTCTGACATATCATGATCACCATTCTTCTTCGTCGTCTTTTCATACTCATAAAAAAGTATTTTATTTTACGGTCTTCCTTTCTATATCTCTTACGACGTGTTGATAATAAACAAAGAAGAAACAGAAAAAAGGTGAACATTTAAACTCTTATTCAAAACCTCAATTCATATAAAGTCTTGGATGAATAGATTAATTTTAAACTTTGATAATTTTTTTGTTTATTTCTATTATTTTTTCATAAAACATCGCTATAATATTCATCGAATTTAAAGTTGCTAATCTTAGCTATTAGAGAATTATGGTAGAAACAAGTTTACTTCAACACATTCCTGTAGTGCAATGTGTATGCGTGTATATTATTCTAAGTGCGTGTAATAGATTATGTTTTTTCAACAAAACAGAGTGATAACAGTAATTGAAAAATCTATCTCTGAGCTACTACATGTACACGTTCAGAGAGTATTTCAGCGGTATTACTTTATTATTTTGTTTGATCTCATTCATGTTGGATAAGACAGTTAAACATATTTGAGGTAGATAAGAGATAGTCCTTCATTTGAAACCTAATCATGCGAATGAGAGTCTTTATTTAAAATTACTGTTCTAATACATTAGCCGTTTAACAAGGCAGATATTATGTAACGGACGTTCTTTTGTGAATAATGCCTCTTTTTTCCGATACTTCTCTTATTAACAGTACTTGAGAAAAAAAATATATAAACTGTTTTTCATGAACACTTTTTTTATTTATTTTCTGGTTTTTTTTTTGTTACTACGTTTTAAATCAGATTAGAAATCAAGATTGGCGGATCATGCGAAATGAATATTTAGTCCCGGTTTATTGTATGCTGATTTATTCTCTTACACACGCAGAGTAAGTGCGTAACACATACAATTTTTGTATTTCTTTGTTTATTTCTCAGGTATATTCTACATTTTCTTTCAATGTTGTTGTTTCTTGTTTTATTATTATTTGTTTTTTTTTCTATTTATGTATGAAATGACTCATACATTCCTTTTGTATGCTTGATAAGGACGGATATGAACTGTGTATCTGTTGCGTTTAAGTATGTTAATTTCGTATTTCTAGTATTCGTCCCACCTATTCAATATTCTTGTCTCACGTTCACAACTGCTCAAAAGTTCTCCATAATTCTTTTATTTTTTCTGTCTTCTATGTTTTCTTTTTGTTGTTCTTACTTTATGTGAACATGATGATCGTTTAGATTAAAAAGCAATTCTTATATTGTGGTAAAAATAAAAAAATGAAAACTGACTATTATTCAACTTCTCAGACATGTCCTCTACACGTGTTCTTTCTTCTCATCAGCATTTTTGCTGATGTTGACAGTTTTATTTTCAATATCGTACAAAAAGTTCAACACAAAAAAAAAAACGAGGTATTTTGGAAAAATAAGAGAGTTTAGTAACAATCTCATAGCATTGTGTGCAGATCATATTTTATTATTACTAGTCACTTTATTTTTCCGTGACATATTTATTTTTAATTTTTGATGGATTTTGTTTCTGATTCATCATGATATCTTGTATTACATATCCAGTCCCATAACGGCCAATATAATCCATAATTGAAATTATGTAAACGCCCTTTACCTTTTGAATGATGAGCATAGTGATGATTTAAATCACCCATTCGACCGTCATGTGCGGCAACTAAAAGTTGAGTAAAAAAACTCAGGTTTTGGGGAAAATTTCGATATCGATTTAGTCTAATATATACTTGAAAGACAGAAACCAGTATTCGGTCGTTCTGTCTATCAAAATTCTTCTACTCTCACAGCATAATTATTTGATACTTACTCGCAAAACAGGATGTAAATAAGCCAAAGAATGCCAAAGCAATTGGATGAAATGGGAAGAAGATGGGTGCCACATAATGTCCCATGGCCCCTTGTACTAAACCTTCAAGCGGATGTACAGCATCTTGGCAAAATGCCGATGGTGCTTTGAATGCATGATGAATAACATGAATTTTATCCCATAGGTAAGTAGATTCATGTAATGCTCGATGTGTCCAATAGAACCATGTATCAAATATCAGACCATAAACAATAACATCCAATAAAAACCATGTTAGAGAATATCTACGTTTAACAAAAAAGCCAGCATTCCATAAATAGGGCTCAACAAAGTACATCCACGTTACAGCATACGTCGTATTAACTAAAAGAAAATAATACTCTTAGATAATTGAAATTATTATATTTAAAGTTCACGACCTACTTAACATGGCTATAATTCCTAAACCCAATTCTTTTCTTATTTGCCGTTTTCTTCGTTCTCGATCTTCATCGGTCAATTTTTTCGACGCAAATCCTTTTGGATTGGTATATTCAAGAACACCAGCTGTCATCACATATTGGAATGTATAAGAACAAAATACAAAAAAATTAATTATGAAATAATCATTTACATTTTTCATTTCTAGTAAATGTGATGAAAAATTTCGGCTCAATTTCACATACGGCCATGAAATAGCGGCTGCTAATGATAATAGTGATAGAAGTCCAGCAATCCATGTGCCAATATGAACATCGAATATTGATGATAGATTATCATTGAGTTTAAGATTGTCTAGTGTACCATCGATTTGTTTCTCTTGAGATATTCGTGATCTCGATTTCATTTTATATAAAGTAGAACAATCAAAACAAAACTAAGTTAAAAAGATGTTTTCTCTTTAGTTTAAATTGTTCGATGTTATGCCTATAAAGCTACTACTTATGTGAATCGATATTTATTGTGGCTAACCTGCTTCATTTGAAAAACTGCTGCATGAAAATCCTTTTTGTTTTCTATGTCAACATAGAGGCAGATAAGCGATGTTTTTACTTGTATACTCATTGATGATATACCACATGACAGTATGATAGTGCGTATGTGTTCTAATCTTATATCGCTTCTATTTGCAATACATGCCTTCAGCAGTCTTATAGAGTGAAGAAGAAGAATGCTGACGAGAGAACGGAAAGAAAAAAGAGTTTGCTTCATAATCACGATTGCTCACATTCTTCAAATATGAACTTCGATTGGATATAATGGTATGGAAATCATAAGATCGATTCGTATACCTCTGTCTGATGTTGTGTTTATTTCCAAATATTATTATATAACGAAATGATAAGAGCTAAAAAAGAAATATTCTAGATTTATCGGACATAGAAGAAGAAAAGAATGGAGCCATTCATCAGATCTTCGTGCCGCGCTTTAAATTTACGAATCATGATGATATGCGTCACGCCAAGCGTTCCCGTAATTTTTACACCGAATTGTAGTACTTTTATTGTTTACAGATACTATCATGCAAAAGTATCCATGTGCATCAAATCTTAGTAACTAACTTTCATCTATATATTCTTCGTTGCTATATACGGCAAAAAATAGCGTTCAAAAGTTGCGCTTTGTTTTCCATGGTAGTACGCTTTTTTTCTGAATGGTTTTTAATCGACGGCGTTTTGAGTGCCGATTTTCAATTGGTGCTTTTTTTTGGTATGATTTCTGCAGGTGTTTTTCACGCGGAGCTTTATTCGACACTTTCTTTTTGTCGCATAGATCTCTACATTATATTTTAGCATAATTATAATGTATATTGAATGTAGAAGATGTTGTAGAAAAGACGATCCTTACTTCGCGGTTGCAATCCTTTTCATTCATTTCTACATATCACCGATAAAAAAAATTAAAGTTTGTTTAGAGGTAAAGAAAAGTGCTTTTTCGTATTTAGCACACTTGATAACCTGGAAAATTTTCTATTTTTAGCGAGGGGTACCGTCAAAAAGTTAAGAAAAATTTTCAAACAAATTAATGCAGAAAAGTCCCCATGGTAAAATTAAACAATTTTAAAAATTTTTCTTAACTTTTTGACGGTACCCCTCGCTAAGAATAGAAAATTTTCCAGGTTATCAAGTGTGCTGAATACGAAAAAGCACTTTACTTTAACTCTAAATGAACTTTAATTTTTTGTCGGTGATATGGTACATTTTCGGACCCATGCGATAAATACCTTCCGTACTTTCTGTGGATAATCTACAGTGCCTACAGAGGATTTGGTTCAGCTCTGAAGTCAAAGAATGTTGCTAGATTGAGTTATCAATTTTTTGAGAAGGATCTTAGAATTCAAAAGCGACTAAACATCGTAACGTAGCTACGATGAATGTAAGCACGTGTATAAATTTTCACTGATGAATGTAAACACGATCATTCTTGCTAATAAAATTTTGCATAACACTTTTTTGTGTAATCTGAGTGGCTTATTCTTCCCTTCTGTAGTTTATTCTAAGACAGTGCAGTTTAATCGTTTAAAGGATATTTCTGATTATTGAAGCATAATACATCACGAATATTTAATATTCATTACTGGTTATAAGGATAAAATCAGTATATTTCAAATTTCTTTTATAGCTGTTTTTTTGTTTAATCAAGAACCATTACATAAGACAAAAACATTATCAAAATTTAGGCCGAAGCCTATTAAATTGTTGCTTCACTTATTATTGAAATGATAAAAAGTTTGAAAATAAACACACAGTAGGCTACTCATAGTTATCCTTCTCCAGCCGCTAAAAGTATCTTTCCACAAAGTTGGAAATTGACAATGATCAAAGCTATTCATAAGAACATGTACTCTGAGCTCAAGTAATCGGTCAGTTTTTGGCATATACCAGGAAAATACCTTTGGGCCCCTTCTTTTTCTCCTTTACACCGACGATGTTTATTTTCTCTCAGTGTTTTCTTCGATATTGAAGTTAATGACTTTAGTAGAATGGTAGAAGCTACAGCCATTGATTTTTTATTTAGAAAAACCGAAGCTTTCGATTACGATCTGTAATCATCATCAGCTGTACTTTTTATTGTAAACTATAGTGTACAATAAAAAACACACCTATATTCAGCCGTTCTTTTTCATTCTTATTGCCCGCTTTTCACTATTCACTCACTTTTCGTTTTTTTTCTTTTTGTTCTTATGAACGAACTTATGTTGAACATTGCAAGGGGAATAAACAGAAGAATATTGGAATTGTGGAAGTTCATTGGAAAGAATTTTGTATTGTAAAGTACAGCTGACGATTATTACAGATCCTAATCGAAAGCTTCGGTCTTTTTAAATAAAAAATCAATAATTGCTGTGTGCATAAGATTGTTATTATCTTTACTGAATTATATTACAACAGACAACATTGATATTCTGGGATTTGAATGAAATATCGTACCTAGTAGAGTCAGATATGCTGATTCCAAATATGACAGTTTTAGTTACCATCATCACTTCCTTACTGAGTCACAGTCTATTTTTTTCTTTTAAAGTCGATCAACATTCGACCTTCTGATGCCTCAGCAAGAAGAACCAACAAAATATTTCAAATAAGCCCAGTTTGTGGACATGCCTTTTTTAAGCAATGAAAACAGTACATTTCCGTTGCAAGCACATGCTGTCGTCAAACGTTAGGTATCTCACGGCAACCATTTCGAATAGCACTGTATTTATTACAACTTTATCATATACATGGTGCTTACATTTTATCGGGGATTGACTCAAGGAGTAAACGACCTATTAAAAGGATGCATACACTAATAAGTGACACTCACCTTAAGCATCACACTTTAAGTGATACTTTAACTACTAAGTTTATTTTTCTGTTTTGAACAAGATCTGAACAGTAGTGATTGCTAATTTTTCCTAGTTATCGGTTGCTACCCGAAAATTACATAATACTGAATGTTTGTGTTGCTTTAAAATGAAACCTAGGCGTGTAAGATCTTTTCTCTCGTACGCATGTTAACGCACATGCATGGGCATTAAAAATGCGTAAAAAACAGGTTGATTTTTTTAGGTAATATCAAACGCCAACTAACTATTTTTGATATTTTGAATGAAGACGTTGAAAACACGATGTACTGGGAACGTTGCGAGCAGAAGCCAATAAAATTGGAGATAGACACGTCGTAAAAATGAGTACTAGAGCGAGTTTCGATTTATTGAAGACACAAATCAAAAAACAAGTCGATGCCAGATTGAGCTAGCAAAATTTTTTGTAGTTTACCCCAAAATCAACGAACGGTTCAAGAGCAAAAATGGATACAAATGCAACTAGGAATGATTACAAATCATCAACATCCAGTTTGACACCAAGTGAACACCATGAGTGCGTTATCAAAGCATTAGATGACTGGTGTTAAAGTCAACCGAAGCCTATAAATTTGAAAGAAAACAAAGATTTTAAACAGTTAAATCAAGATGATTTCCTTGTTGATCAAACTGATGAAAACAAACATGTTTGTATGACGCCGAACGGCTGCAGTCCATACAATTTATATTTCGAAACATACAGAGGGAAAAACCAGAAGCGAGCTAAAATTCGTGATTTTCCAGAAAGATGTTGAATTTGATGTGGTACTTCAGAACTTAGATACTTAAAATAACACTTAACTTGAAAGTACACATACTTAAAGGCGCTTAACGTGATCCAACGAATGTGATTCTTTACCACATTCAGTCATCGCACGTCTTTCCGTAAAAGTATTCAAAAAAAGCATCTTAATAGCACTTAAACATATCTTGTGACGCTGTTGTATTTGTATATTTACATCGTAAATACATTGTATATTGTCTTGTAAACACCTACCTACTCAACAAAATATATACAGATTTTCTGTTCTGTGTACGTAGTTGCTCTCGCTGAAAACATGTGCTGATCTATTATATACTCGTTCTATCCTCTTGATACTGTACCATATCTCTCTCTCTCTATTATACGTGTCTCTACTCTGTAACATCTACTGTGTCTTCTGACTCATCCCAGGGTCGGTTAGTACGAAGATGGATCACCGCGTCCGAAGCTCAAGGTTATAAACTGTATGGGTCGAGCAGTAGGTATAGAACATACTATAGTAGTGCACAGGATGAGGAATCGAACACGTCAAGTTCACTTTTGGATAATTTAGTCCAAAAGTAAAATTGATGCTTTAAAATTCATAGTTTTAGTGTTCGATTCCAACAACTGCACTGTAAAAAAATAGTCGTAGATTAATAAACTATCAAAAAGGGTTTATTGAGACCAATAAACCTTTTAAAAAACGCTTTTTCGTTTTTTATATCCAAAAAACTAAAAAGCGTTCGTGACAGATGCAAAATGAAAAACGGGCGGTTTTTTATTTTTGATAAAAAATCCTTTTTAGTTTTTTGTCGAGTTTAAAATACCAGCTAAAAATCTCTTCAGTTTTTTGTCCAGTCTAAAAAATTAGCTAAAAAACTGAAGAGTTTTTTAGCTGATACTTTAGACTCGACAAAAAACTAAAAAGGATTTTTTATCAAAAATAAAAAACCGCCCGTTTTTCATTTTGCATCTGTCACGAACGCTTTTTAGTTTTTTGGATATAAAAAACGGAAAAGCGTTTTTTAAAAGGTTTATTGGTCTCAATAAACCTTTTTTGATAGTTTATTAATCTACGACTATTTTTTACAGTGTGTGTAGTGTCGTTTTGTACTTTGCTTTTCTTCTGTTCTATCCTATCACTCTCTCAACTCTTAGTTTTTTCAGCTATTCTCTCTGATTGTTTGTGGGTGTTACTGTACTAAATTATAAAAATATAGCTTATATAGCTTTTTTTGTGATAATATAGCCAAAGTGAAGAAGTAGAACGATACTGTTTTGAGCCTGATTGTCCTAATTGATGAAAGAATAAAAGAATTGGGCTCGATCTTTAAGAATACAATATAAGACTATAGACAATAGAACTGAGCTCGAAAAAAATTAATTCGAATAAATTTTTTCATATACATGAGTATGAGAGCAACAAAATTGATTCACTTGTACATCGTTATGTTATCATTATAAACTTAATAAAAAAAAAAAGAATGTTACAGTACAGTTAAGAAATAAATTCACATATATTAATATTTTATATAATGCAAGTTTAACTTTTTTGAGCATTCTTTCTTTTCCACGGTGTTTTTCAAGTAGTTAGACGCCTATCACATAATATCATCATACCTATAACATGAATACAGATATGCATATTTTTTTAAACTATATCGACATGTGTGAAACAGTGGTGGTAAAGAACGAGAAAAAAGAAATCAGACAAACAGAACTAAGCTATTCTTTCCACTCATCAAACGTATTTTCAATCATTGATTGTAATAAATTAATCCATTCTGATATATTAATTTTTAAATGTTGGAATGTATTTGTAATATTTGTTGTTTATCTATCAGCACCTTATCAATAGTGTAACGATTTATAATCATTGTTGTTGAAATATTCAGTAAATTTGTCTAATTTTTTATTCTGTAATCGTCAGACATGTGGCTGTATCCAACATTTCATTATCAATCAATAATTGTAAACTTAATAACAGAAATTTTTCTTTATTCTGATTTAATTTGCAATGTTCTTGTACTTTTCTGGTGATAGAGGCTCCGTATGCTAACTATTGTGCTAATCGTAATAATGATACTGTACTTGTTATTCCTGCTGCAGTTATCTGATTGTGTATACCTTATTTCTAACAGTTGAAATGAAAGAACAAAAGAAAAAGAATAATTCAAGAAGTTAATAAGAATCATTATGTAAAAATAAGAAAATACTTACGCTCATATCTGTATTCCACGTAATATTGTTCTAAGTGCACATTAAGCAAAACGATATTTCACCGATCGATTTTTAAAGCTTTTCAATGTGACGTTTTGTAATATTAACAAAAATCGAGTCGATTTTTCGCTTCTCATTGAGAAAGAAGGAGAATAGTGAAAGTAAGAGAAACGAAAACAACTCAAAAAGTGGAAAATTTGTTAGATGAAACTCAGTTTAACAAACCATTATAATTACAAGAAAGTATCCAGTATACAAAGTCATGTTGAACAATTTCAATTACAATTGAAGGAAACGAATGAATTAAAAAAAGTTCAGAATTACGGCAGAATATACGTATATGATTGTATTAGGGATCATTCAAACGGTGGGGATGCTCTAACTGTCGGTCGCTCAAATGTCAATTAATCTTCGATTTTTAATTCATCAGTTGAAATCAAACAAACATCCATTGGATAAAAATGGTGAATAAGATTCAAAATGCCAAAGACTAACAATATTAATTCGTTTCATGTTTTTTTTTGTCATGTATGCCATCAATTATTAATAATAACAAATATTCACACGTTAATAATAATCGTGTGTTATTAAATAAATAAATGTATTATTAACGTCTTTGAATTTAAAATATGAAATAAAAATTTTGTTAATTTATTTGATGATGAATAATTCGCACATTAAGCACAACATGACTATCAATTTTCAATAAACTTTACATTATAATGTTTTTATTGTTTATATTCGACAATATCTTGTATTTTTTTATACACGGAAGGATCAGAAAGTAATCCTTTCATAACTTTTTCAATTTATTCAACTGTTAATCTTATATCTGTCATTTCTAGAACATATACGATTAGATATTAAACGACTAGAATAATAAAATTTTATAGTTAAAATTCAATCTTTTAAATATCTTTCGTGTTGTTGTCAGTACATATAACACCAGAAACATGAATTTAATGTTATAAAGATCGTAAGTATCACACGTACTTATTCATCAGTAACTTTTTATAGTATTTGTGAACATTTTAGTTTATACACTATCTCCTGAACTTCGATAAACAACTACTAAAGAGAAATCGAACACATTTTGAAGGGAAGACGAGTTTCTTCTAGTACAAAATTAAGGAAGAAAACGTTGTTTTTAAAAAACAAGATCAACTTCAACATTAAAACCAGTATGCTGTAGTCTCATTTTTCTAAGATAAGATAGTTTATATGATTCGTCAAGTATTAACAATGTGTTCAGAAGCTTCTCAATGTAGATAATATTAGGTTATAATTTATATCTGATATAAATTATAACCTAATATTATCGATGACTAACGTACTGTTATCTGCAAAATGGACAGAGATGAAACACGCTTATATAATCTGTAAAAAGGAGATGAAACTGCTGAAAAATTTAATCATAGTCTTTCATATCTCAACCAGACAGTTTAATATAATAGCACATAGACGGCTTTTGCATTTTAATCATGAAACAGCTAGCAAGAGAAAGCTATATACAATAAGTCAGCTAACAATATTCGTCTGTTGAGAAACAGTTTCAATAGAAAATCTTAAAAACTCCACTCCAGTATGCCGACTACTAGTGTAATGATTTCTCTTCATACCAATTCGAAATTTGTTTTGGTAAAAGCGTTTTATTTAACAGGACTCTCGTAGATATCACATTTTTCTTCATAATTCAAATATTACGTTATGCATATCGGCCACTTTATTTAACTTATTGTACAATTTTTGAGTGTAATAAATCTTGGCACTACAGCTTTATTAAAAAGTACATCCTAATGCCATTTTATTTTATTTTTATCATTTAGCAGAAAATGTGCAAAAGAACCAAATACATATCGTGCTTTTTGATCAAGGTTGAAAAATCCTATAATAGGTTGGTTCATGGTAATCGTTCTTACCATTTCCTACCATGATAGAATTTTAGAGACTGTTGTATGACGATCACATAGGATCATACTATAAGAAATAATAGGACTTTATAGAAATCATGGATAGTTATGGGATTCTACAAAATCTGGTAAAAATTCTATAAGATATTATTATAACATTTCTCGATTTGGTTCATACATCCTATCCAATCTAACTATTCATCCTCATCATGCTTAAGTCCGTCTTATCCTTTTTCTTCAAATATTTTTTTTTAATTTGATGCTAGTCCCACTGGAATCGAAACCAGCCATAGTTCTCTGATCACTCTAACAGATATATACTGTAAAATGAAACAATATGTTTTACAGTGTATAGGAAAAATATTATATGAAATGTATGGAAAAAATAATATAATTTCGATAGTAGAAATCGTATCACTTTATCACTAAAGATCATATAGAAATTCTATGATTTCTTATCGAAGAAAACTGATAGGATTTCATTATTTGATATTGTTGTTGAATAAGTAAGTTGAAATAAAATCCATCTAAATATCGTATTATTGATGAATCTAACTCAAAAAGGCAAATCAAAGAATTTTTTGTAATTTTGTTTTTTTGAATACTTTATTACGAAAACATAAAATTTTTTGAAGATATGTATGATTGCATTGTCGCCTGGATCAGTCACTACTCTAACTTTAACCTGCCCGCCATCTATTTTTAATCCTTAATCAAGTATAGCAATATTATAACTGATGTAGTTCCATTTTATATATGAAATTTATTTTTATTTCTCTAGTGTGTGGACAGACAAATAGACGATTAATTGTGTTTTAGACTCTGACAAATCTATATACTTATATAGGAATATTTTAGAGATTAAGAGTATCATAAAAAGCTTTTCATAATCATCATTTCTCTCTATGAAACAATAATTGTAGTTCGATTTAGCAACGACCACGTGTATTAAAATATCTTAGAGGTACTATATTATTGTTTTTATATGACTAAGATAACGTTGTATACATGGAATAACAACAAAAAAACAATATTACATCTACACTGCTATTGATTGATTGAAGATTTTGTTTCCGCAAAGTGTCCATCAAATATAAAGAAAAAGAGAGTTTTCTTTATTTTTTCTTATTGAGTCATTTGGTGCTGCTACACAGTTAGAATCACGTAATTTTTTTTCTCTTCTTTAGTTCTCTTTCGAACAAAAAAAAAAAAAAAGGAGAACAAGGTTATCTATATAATTATTAAATATATAGGATGAGATAATACAACACATACACTCAAAAAATCTTTTCCATAAGCTAAGAGTATGATAATGAGTGTTAACACTTTTTTTAAAATTAATCTACTTTTAACTATAGATCGGTCATAATAATAATGTTAAAACGTCTCAATTTAGCTGGAGATAATATTAAACAAGCTTGGGCAGATGTTAGAAATGATGCGTCTGATACAAATTGGTACGTAAAGTAAATTATTTTCATATATTCTTTCTTAAATATCTAATAATTGATATTTATAGGTGTTTGCTTGGCTATTCTTTAGAGAAAAATGATGAAATTGTATTAGTTGGACAAGGTAGTGGCAGTTTATCTGAACTTAAAACACAATTAGAAGATGATAAAATACTGTTTGGTGTTATACGTGTTCGAGCAGTTGATGATCACGGTAGTAAACGAGCAAAATTTGTTTTTATCGTATTTATGGGATCGGATGCTGTAAGTATGTTGTCTAGAAAAACAATATGTTTTTTTTTTTTATTATTATTTCCTTTATATCTGAGAAAAATTACAAATGTTTGATTATATTTTCTTTTTTTTAGCCATCTATGCGTCGAGCAAGAGCATCAACAGATAAATCAGAATTTGTACGATTTTTTAATGGTTATCATATAGAAATTTATGTTGATAATAAAGAAGATCTTTCAGAAGAAGCAATTACATCAATTTTACACTCATCGGCCGGTGCACATAAACCTCAACGTTATGAATTCTAAAATGATCAACTTTATATTAACGTAATTGATGAATACGTCTTTTTTCAAATTAATTTCGTTTGTCTTAGTGAATGATCTATTTAATAATATGGATAATCGTTAAAAAAAAGAAAAAGAAACTTCTACCGCGCATACAAATGTAGTTTAAAAATACTCTATGTCAACATCCAGTTTTTTGCTTCTCAAAGTTTATACTATTGCTAAGTTTCAAACTTTTATTAAATTTTCTTTCGAAAATATGGAACAAATGACTTTAAAACTTGATTAAGAACGCAGAAAACTCAACTTTACATTCCTTTTTTTCTGTTATTTTTTTTGTATTTATTCTAAAATCAAACAACTAAGAGTAATAAATAGCAAGTTACTGATCTAACTACTATTGTAACTCATATCAAGTGAAGTAAAAGTGGATTCTTGATCTATAAGAAATGTTAAACAAAGTTCATTAAAAAAAACTTAGTACAGACATGAAGATTACAGACATGAATTTGGATTGATATCCGTTTTTTTTGATAAATAACGTAGATAATTGAAAACTAGACTACACGTTCTAATTTTATATAAATATGTGTTCTATACTTAAAATTATTTTTGATTATTCTAGCTAAATCTATTGTTCAAAATTTGAGATATTGTCATTTATTTAAACAAAGTTAACAGTGAAAAACAACGATGTAGAAAATAGACATACACAATTTAAACAAGTTCTTCTATTTCTTGTTGTTCATGTTCAGTTTTTTCTTTAGATATATTTTTCTCCTTATTAATTTGAACACTTTGTTTTTCAAGACTTTTTTCTTCGATTGTCAGTTTTTCAATCATTTCATCTGTAAAATAATTAGAACAATATATATTAGATAAATTGTATATAGAAGATATGCTTTACTTACTAATTTTTTCATGATCAACATTACATAGAGCAAGATAAAATTTTCGAGATGAATGTGTAAGAAATGGGCGTAATGATGATCGACCACGCCATGAAATAAAATTTAATGGCACATGTAAATTAGCATTTCTAGAATGAAAATAGATTATTATATTTTAAAAAAAATAAATAAAGTAAAAAATATTACATACTTATTAAATGATTCATTCGGATCATAATTGCAAATAATACTACCAAATTCTGAAAGAAAAGAATATTTTATAAAATATACAATAAATTTCTACTATACATATTAATCTTCGAAAATACTTCTTGGGCAATCAAAAAGTAGTGGCGGAGGTACTTTATTTCTGTATAGAAAGTTGTTTGAAGTATCATGGAGACTTGAAGTTACTATATTTGGATTCCTTATTCAAAACTGCATCAAGCCAAGATACTCCCAAGTCCCCAAATCACAAAGTGAAATTTTGGCAAGGCCCAGAACGTATATGCGTTAAGAACCAAGATCCTTCGTTCAGAAAACTCTACTAGTTTTTTGTGTGAAGGACTAGACCTTTAATTCACACATCATTAGATAGACCAGATAACCAGCTTTAAAAATATGTAGAGCATTTTTTCAAATTTTGTTTATGTTGCTGAGAAAAGTCATCTTTACTAAATCAGAGGCGATAAAGTTGGAATTCTATCTATAATTCTCAATTTTCTCGATCAAAACTCAACTTCTGAGCAATAAAAATATCATATTTGGAATCAGGATCAAAAACTGAGTCGACTTTTTCCATCAGAATCGCAGAAAAATAGAGCATTGTTTTTACTATTGCTGTATATAAACTGAAAGTTTCCTCAAGCGTTCTATACGGAAATAAAGTATCTCCGCCACTGCTTGGATTGCCCTAAGTATAATAATTTTGATTATCTTCTATCGCTTATATGTTATTGAACTAACCTACCTTTATTATCTTCTTCTATTTGTTTTTGAACATTCTGTGATAATTCTGTGAAATAGGGCATTGCATGCGCTAACAGAGTTAATACATCTTGTTCATTTAAACTAATATGTCGTTTATGAAAATATTTTTGAACGATTGTTATACCCTAAAAATAAATAAATAATAGAAATATGTTTATTTCGTGTAGATAAAACATAACTCTTACTTCTTGACTAATGCGTAGTGTTCGTTTTCCACCTTCTTTTTCACTTCGAAGATCCGTACGTACTAACAAACGAATACCCATATTAATAAACTAGAAACAAAAACAATAAATTTCTAAATAGTTAAATGTTGAACAAATAGATTCCTTCTACTTTAATATGATCGTCATTGAGTGATACAATATTTTTTAAATTTTCTGAGACAAAATAAATATTTCGACCACTATCAGCTTGTATACGCGTCATCAACTGATTAACTGGAAATGTTTCGTCGATATTGAAAAAATCTCTAAAATAAGAAAATGAATCATATCTCATTTTTAGTTATACAAAAGATAAGATCTAATTAAGTGTAAAATTAAATCACATGAGCCAACAAATTTGAAAGTCATTGATTTAAAATATCATAACTGGTGCAGCCAGTGTACTGATACGTTTGAATGTATAAACTTAAAAACTCACTAACTTGATAGGTGGCCAAAATGCTTTTACATCGTCATCGGTGAAGAATATAAATGGATTTTCTCGATGATAACGAGCTCGTTTATGACCACGTCTATACAAATATAAGTTAGAATTGGCGATATGAATATCGTAGTCTACGTCATCTTATAATTGTTCGTAAGGCGCCGCTAATTCAAAAGAATTGCAAGTTCTTATTTTTCACTTAAAACTATATCATTCGATGCAAAATTTCACGGTGATTACGAAT